TACATGTATTAAAGAATCTACAGCAAAAACCTCTTACAATGGGAGCTTGTTTCCGAGGTATTTCTCTACACCACAGAGGCTTTTCATCGTCTTTCTGATGTCTTGTGTGATAACCGCACAAACGGCAGTCTAAAGAAATTCTTAAAGATCGACCAAAACTCAAAATATGAGGTAAACACAACGTGTGTCCCATCTGTGTGCGACCATTCATTTAGGATGTTGAGGCGCACAAATACATTGACACAGCAACAGAAACTGTGTGTGTCCTCCCCCCCACTTCAACCCCAGCGATGCCAAATGTATGAACTTGTCCTCCCTGATTAGAAGTTTTCAGACTGTCACGTTAAAATCACCATTAATTTCAACACAGTTCAGCACACTCAGTTCTTAGAGGTTTTTATTTGCTATCTAAAATGCCTGCAGGAAAGAAACAATAAGAGTTCGGCTTATCATTATTTTTAAGCAAAATATGAGTGCACGGCCAAAGATCGCATCTCTCAATACAAACCAAATATTTGCCCTTAACTTAAATAGGTTTCCAAGCAATTAAGGGAAAGGGCAAGGCTCTTTATAAATGCTCTGTATATTGATTCATTTGAAGGAGACATTGGACTCCGAATTAAGTACGTAGATTTCCCTAAGAACCTATTAGTAGGACGAATAGAAGGGGCCTTTAATGCAGTCTCCAGAAGTACCACCTCTCGAGTTGATTCTCATGACGCTGCCTCAGATATCTTACAGCAATGCCCTTTAAGGCAAGCATTAATTAATGAATTAGAAACAGTACGGTGAAATAATGCACAAGAACTGACCCTGGAGGACAGTGCCATCATCAACAACGCATAAAGTTTGTGTAGCGTCTTCCATGTCAGGAGAACGTCCCAAGGCGCTGGACAGTCAGGGATTTGGACCCGAGCGGTGGTTGGGCTCAGGTGGGGTGGAGGGCAGGCAGGGTAGGGGTAAGATGGTGGCCGAAGGCATGCCTTGAAGGAGGCAAGGGAGAGGGCGAGGCAAAGGGACTGTAGGATGGGGTTCCAAAGGCTGGGGCCAGAGAGGCTGAGGGGATGGAGGGATATTTTGCTTCCACTGAAACATCAGGTTGCAGGTTTTTGGTCACGTTACGGTTGACAAGAACACATATAGTTATCAGTTGCGTCACGCGCCCACACCACTGACCTCTATCACAGCAACCCTGCTCCTAATTCACATCTATTTCCGACAGCAAACTCTCAAAGATGTCAGGGCATGCGAACTGCAAGGGCAAAACCTTAATTCAGCAAAACAATTCCTTAAATTATACATAATGCAGGGCGCTCATTCAGTTCTGAAGATGAATGCTGATAGATATTGGTGCCAGTTCCCAGGCCTGAATATATTATTCAAACACGAGGCATTGAGAATAAAAATATATTCAGCACGCCACACTCCCCACACACAAGTAGCCTTTAATAAATATATACTGCCTTTACATATACTGCCTTTACTCTTGTGTTCAGAAGGCGCTCTGGAGATATTTACTATTATTTCATCGACTATTTTCTCCATCTCCTCTGAAGGCAGGGATTCTCGCTGGTGACACAGTTTTAGGAGTGACAGCTGCTCTCTGGGCGCTTTCCCAAGTGGTTATTAATTTGCGAGCTTTGGCAGTAAATGCTGACAATCAATTTTAACCATGGAAGGAATCACACCTAAGGACCGATCCTGTGCTTGGCAAACACTCACAGTTCCACGCACACTTCAGGACGAGATCAATGGATTTAGGAGCTAAAGCCCTGGCTGACATTCACCTTCTCAGGCACAGGACCATTCAGTGCAGGGCAATTGTAAATCAGGAAACTAATGTTTATAGGGTGGAAAAAGATTGAAATGTAAGCATGCGTTTCCAGCGGTAATAATTCCTTCAAAATAATAACAATAATAATTTGGTCACTCAATCCACGACTGTTTGTGGGGACGCTGCTGTGTGCAGTTGGCTGCCGCGTTTCGCCCAAAATATACAGTTAATTCAATTTACGGTATATTGTGTGAAGTGTTTTGAGACGTATAGAAGATGTGATCAGATGCTATATCGAATTCAAGGATTATTATTATTATTAATTATTCATCTCATGGATGTTCTTGGGACCTTGCTGGGCATAAAAGCGCTGCCGTGTTTGCTTACAGTCACTACGCAACAAAAGAGATTACCTGTGAAGTACTTTGTGGCGTTTCAGCATTGTGAGTTCTTGCCTCCTTCTTCCTTTCATCTTTTGGCACCCGGCTGACCCCCCAAAAATTAAATGAATTAAAAAAAGTAATTAAAAAAAATACCTGAACAGGTAGAAGGGTTATCGGTTTAACGTTTCACTCAAAGGGCGGCACCTTCAACAATGCAGCATGACCCCCAGCACTGTGATGGGTGTCAGCCTGGACTCTGATTTAAAATGTCCCGACGTGAGGCTTGAACCCGCAACCTTCTGGATCAGAGGCAAGAGTGCTACCAACCGAGTCGGGCTACCTTAAAAAAAAATCAAGTAAGTGTGTATTATGTTTGAATCCCACGTACGGCGCAATTGATTGCAAGTGACGCTCTCCGGGGCTGTCCCCAAGGAGTATTTCTGAAATCTGTGTCGTGCTTAAGAAGCCCAGCGACAGGCGAGAGAACCTAATTTAACAGGTGAATTGTGCAACTCGCTCCTCTCGCTTTTCTGTTCAAAGCTTGTGTATGTGCTGGGGTTCGTGCCAGTTCGGTATGAGACACAGCAAGATTTGATAACAAAGGGAGAGCCTTACTCACTGCCATTTGAGACGTGAGCTGTGGTGCAGTGATTTAATGTTCTTCTAAAACGATCGCCCTCTAAACCGATTCTGAGAAGAATGGAAGCGACGTCAGGATTCGAATGCTGAAAACAGGTCTGCAAAGCGAGATCTCACATCGTTAATAATTAAGGTAGAAACAAGCAGGTAAACAACCCACCGCTCAATCGCAGGAAGGGGAGTTTTAACGCTCTGGAATTTTACACACAATCTTCCAAACCGTACACACATTGTCCATCAGCAATCAACAGAGGTTACGTTTATCTTCTTTGAGCTCTAAAGTGCAGGATCTGATGACGTTAATGACTCCATAAGGGTAAAAAAAAAATGCTCATTGTTGTTGGACCACAGAGCCTCTGCCCACCAGTGGACACCCACTATATGTAGTAGAAAGTCTGAGGCTCTTTTGAAGCTTGTTACAGGAAAGTATGAAGAATAGAACAAACGCCCTTGATTCAGAGATTGATTGTATCTTATCTGCTCGTTCATAGAGTTCCCTCAATCCAGTTATCAGAAAATGTTCTACGCAATTTCTCCAGACTATCTCTCCTTCCTGCATCTCCCCAATCCAGCCTTGACTGAACCCTCGATGACATTTCTAGTCCACCGCTGTTGATCATTCCACCACGAGGCTGGTTGTGGGACCTTGATGTGGGCAAAATGTCAGCTGCATTTCCCAACCCAAAAAAAAGGGCAATTACGCGTGACAGCGGTCGGCGCGAAGGACTGTGCAATGGTTCGGTGCGATAAGGGCCCTTTTAAACTGCAAGTTCTTCCTCACTCACTTCCTTCCCATTCTCCACAAGGACTGATGTCGGTACTCCCTCCGATGGTGAGCAAACGAGCAAAGCCACGTCACACCAAATAATTACGGTGTTGTCCATATCTTATTAACCGATCATTCAGATTCAGATATTATTGATGTACTGCGAAATTAATTAATCGGTTACCCCCCCCACCACAACCCCCACCACCCCCCACCCAAAAAATAACTAAAACCGGGTACTTTTCAGGTGTTTTGGGACAATTTGTGTCTCCCTGGCTCGGGGTTGGTGGTGTCCTCGATCCGTTAGCAATCCCATGGCGTGGTTTGTACAGAGGGGGGAATGGCGTTTCCCCCCCTACCCCCACACCGCTCCCACCCCCGAGACAGGAGCAGAAGCCGCCGGGAACGGGAACGGGAACGCTCGGGCGGGTTGTCTCCGCGGGGAAAGGGCAGCGAGTCGACGTTCCGGGGGGGTCCGCGGCGTTCCCGGCCGCTCCCGCCTTCGTTTCGATCCCTCCGCGTCAAAAGACCGGTGTCCGTTTCGCTTCGAGGCTGTCGGTGGAACGGTTGCCGCGGGAGGGGAGGGGAGTGGGGGGGAGTGGGGGGGAGGGGAGTGGGGGGGGGGGAGGGGAGTGGGGGGGGGAGGGGAGTGGGGGGGAGGGGAGTGGGGGGGGGAGGGGGGAGGGGGGGTGGGGGGAGAGGAGTGGGGGGAGGGGAGTGGGTGGGGGAGGGGAGTGGGGGGAGGGGAGTGGGGGGGAGGGAGTGGGGGGGAGGGGAGTGGGGGAGGGGAGTGGGGGGAGGGAGTGGGGGGGAGGGGAGTGGGGGGAGGGGAGTGGGGGGAGGGAGTGGGGGGAGGGAGTGGGGGGGAGGGGAGTGGGGGGGGAGGGGAGTGGGGGGAGGGGAGTGGGGGGGGAGGGGAGTGGGGGGGGAGGGGAGTGGGGGGGAGGGGAGTGGGGGGGAGGGGGGGGGGAGGGGAGTGGGGGGAAGGGGAGTGGGGGGGGGGGGGGGGCGTTCGAGGTAAGGAGGTTCAATTGGGAACGGGTGAGGGGTTCGAGGTGGAACGACCGCGACCGCAAAGACGAGAACAAAATGACATTTGTAATAATAATAATAATTATAATAACGCACTGCAGCATAACATATTATGATTATACAACATATTGGCGGTGGCGGCGGTGGTGGTCGTCGTCGTCGTCCCCCGCGCGTGCGTGAAGCGACGACGGTTTTGGTGGGCGGGGCGGGGGGGGTTGGGGGGGGGGCGGGTTTTCCTCGTCTGATTGCCAGGCGAGAGAGCCAATCATTTCTGAAGCCTGGGGCGGGGTGATGGTAACTAACCAATGGGAGAGGAGAACGAGGGGGGGGGGCGGGGGCGCGGGCGGCCTGCGCGTGACGTCGGGGCGGGCGATTGGGCGGGGTTTCGCGCGGGGTCGTCCTGCGCGTGAAAGCAACGGCTTCGGGTTTGAATTGTGGGGAACGGCCCGAGGGGGCGGGGCCTGAGGCCCAGTTGTGGGCGGGGCCTGAGGCCCAGTTGTTTACCCGCCGCCCGCGCTATGCCGGAGAATGTGATGGAGGCCGAGGCCCGGCTCCAGCCTCGGCTGCGCTCGGTCGGCAACCCCCAGCGGTCCTTCCTCATCTTCTGCAACCGGAGCCGGCGGTCCGTCAGCCCCATCTGGATCAACTACAGCGGCGACCCGGTGCCTTACCCCGACATGGTGGCCCGCACAGGCCGCAGGATGAACACCTTCATGGGTGGGTTCAGGGGCCGCGCTCTCAGTTAGTCCCCCCCCTCCCCCCCTCCCTTCCCCCCCCCCTCTCCCTTCCCCCCCCTTTCCCTCCCCCCCCCCCTTTCTCTGCCCCTTTACCCCAAAAGGGGGAGAACAACAACAGCTGATAGACCAGAGGGTTCCAGGGAAAGTGGTGCTTCCCTCACACGACAACCACAACAACAACAAGTTTTTTTTTGGGGGGGTGTTGGAGGGGAGGACAGAGCAGAGGGCCCAAGTGGCTGAAAACCTTCCTCAGTAATAATAGTAATAATAATAATAATAATCGCATCTTCCGAGACGCCTCACAGCGCTTCGCGGGATACACCGTCGCGCGTGAATTGGTTATTATTATTATTATTGATGATGATGACGATGATGGGATGGGACAAGTCCCTCAGGAGGCCTCGGGAGAAATATTACTGCGGGTCAAGCGAGGGCGGGGAAATGATGGACTGGCCGCACGCGGGGGGTGGGGGGGGGAGAGAACAGGGGCCGGAGTTGTTCTGGAACGGACCGGAGATTCCGGAGGGCACAGTCCCCGGGGTTTGATTTTTTTGGGGGGGTGGGGTGGGGTGGGGGGAAGCTGGATAACGCTCAAAAGGGCCTCTTGCTCGCTTTCCCCTTCCAGGCCATCCGTGGATCTTCCGAGACGCAGTCCACGAAGATCGACTGCTTGGAAACGGGCAGGAGATCTTTATGTCGCCTCCCGGGCAAGTGGATGAAAACGGGGTGCCGAGCTACATAATGGTCAACATCACTATTCCAGGTAAAACACTGCCACACGTCAATGGGCAGACTTGTGTTTGATGCTACTTAAGATCTGTGTGGGTGTCAACAACAACAACAACAAGATTACATCTGTATGGCCCCTTTCACGTCAGGGGTGTCAGTGCCTCGTGACACCTGTTGCGCACGCATAGGAGCTTTGGTACCTTTTAATGATTCAAACATGTTCTGTGTTGAACCTGCCCCACTATAAATTACCTGCAGAGGTGTTGTGGTATTGTTACAGTAGTCCTCCCGAGTTACAGAGGATCAGGAAGCCATTTCACGGCAATCATTTCCGTAAAACCATAGAAATGTGCAATACAGCAAGATGCCAGTGGCCATATTGTTGGTGTTTGCTATCCATCCCAATTCCCTGTTTTTTACCCTCTAATAACCTTCCTTGTACTTTTCTAATTCTCTGGGAGTTCTTCAAAACTATTCCTTTACCCCCCCAAGCTACGAGTTTGAATTCATATCCTTTTGTCTTCAATTCCCCTACTGTGCAGAAAGAGGTTTTCCACCATTTAAATTATTTTAAAGCCTTTATTATCTTAAACACCTGTAACATATCACACCCTCAATCGTCTCTGCTCCAATGGAAAGTCTCAACTTCTCCAACCTCTCCTCAGATATATTGCTTGGTTATCAGCCTGGTGAACCAGGTAACATTCACCTTGGAATATGAAGGTTGTGGGTTCAAGCGCCACCCACATTAGGACTTTGAACCCAGTGTACATTGATGAGTGATGATTGGGGGGGTTAAGAAACGCTGCTTTGTTGATGAGATGTTATCAGATGGACGTTAATGATGTATAAACACTTCAATCCTTTTTTTGTCCAATGACGTTCAGACAGGCTTGTGCTTTTTTCTTAGTTTATACACTAAAGGAGAGATGCCTACAAGTGGTGCGGAGTCTTGTGAAGCGCGAGGATTACAGAAAGCTGGAGATTGTTAGGTCACTGTACGAAGATCTGGAAGATGGGCCAAACATCCAGAAAGACCTCAGGCAACTACAACAGCTGTCTGAAAACTCGGAGAATTTAGAAGTTAACTAAGTATTGGATGAATGAGAACTTGAACTGTTTTTTCCCAAAGCCATGACTTATTGCACCGAGCCAAGTTATGAGTGTCTTATTGGAACACACTCCACCCACCATCAGATTGTGATTTGCCCATTGACATTGTCCAGGAAAAGGAAACTTTTTTTTTTACAAGAGGGGCAAACTGAACTTTGTCCAATTGAGGGTTTCCCTAATTTTTTTTTTAAAAAAACAAAATTTGTTGGAATTTTTTATTTTGGTGTAGATTTTGACTTCTTCTTGGACTAAGATGTTAACAGAATTTGCTTTTCCTTTCGTCTAAATTGATGGGTTCAAAATACTTATATTTCGTAGCTCAGGGGTCAAATGGACCAATACAATTGAGCCACATAGACAAGAAGGTTGTAGATTTGATCCTTGGTCTGTGTAGAATTAGTCATTGATAATTAGTCTATGCTGTGGGAGTAGGAGGAGAAAAATGAGCCAGGTGTCTGCTCTTCACTCCTGTACCAAAGGAGCAGTTTTTGGAGTCTTACTAAAGGACCAGTTTGATGATGTTAATAGCAGCGTGGAGAGAAAAACATTGTCAACTTAAAACATAATCATATTCATTTTGCTTGCACTCAGCCTAAAAGGGATGTGGAGCCTTACGCACTACACAGGCAGCAACATATGCTTTCACAGACTTTAGAAATTCAAGTTGAATTGATTGGCTGTACATTTCGTTTGACAAGCTATCTTATACAGTAGTTAGAATTTAAAGGCATGTTCTAGTGTCCGGGTCATATCGGATCATCAATAATGACTTATATTTCCATAGCGTCCTTTATGTAGGACAGCGTCTCTGAACCACTGTGGTCAGTGTTGAGCAGCAGAGACTTATACTTTTTTTTTAATATAAATAAATCAACCAACCACATGTTTATACATATTCCATTGTATATATTCCGTATGTATTATTAATACTCTAATTAAACTCATCTAATTATGCAAGGATTTGTTAAGTTTTTGTGAAGAAATTAGGTTTAGTTATACTGCTGTCATATTAAAGAATACGAGACATTTCTTTGCTACAGAAATTCTGGCTATAAAGAGCAGGGTTGTGTCACGTAATCGGTGCCAATGGTTCACAACCATAGCTTGCTAGATAAATGTTATCACGAGCCTCACAGATGGAGGGAGTCCTGATCAGCCAATACAATGGGAATCAGGGTGTTGGGCTAAGAGCTTCTTTTTATCCAATGATTCCACTAGGACTGTATCGACAGCAACTCGCACTCACAGGGTAGTGTCTCAGAGCACTTAACAGTGGCGGAGCTGGGGGGAGGTAACAGTAAGCATGGTTGAAAAGGAAGGTTTTCAGGTGGGACTTGGAAAAAGAGGAGGGATCAAAGGAGAGTATTCCAGAGTTTTGGGGCGTAGCGGCTGAGTGCGTGGATTAGGTTTAACCAGGAGCCAACATTCACTACCTTAGTTCACAGAATGGACAAGAGGGAAGGTCTCACCTATAGAACTATCGCAAGAGGCCTCTGCTTTCAAGAGGAAGAAATGCTTTGTTTATTTAAGAAACTTTCTCTGTCAATGCTGTATTGGGCATCTAGGAAAAAGAGGGCTGCTGAATTATCAGGGTTATGTAGGAATTGGGCAGAGGGCAGCACCTATGGTTGTCCCTGCCAATGCCCACTTGTCACTACCCTGTCACCATGGACTTGTTGGGTCACTATGGGTTGCTTGCTCTTGCTCGCAACTCAACATATCTCTCATCCATAACTGATAGGATGTCAATCATCCAGCACTAACTCCACATATCACTCTCCCAGCACTAACTCCACATATCACTCTCCCAGCACTAACTCCACATATCACTCTCCGGGCACTAACTCCACATATCACTCTCCCAGCACTAACATATTTGCATACTACTAACTGAAGGCAGGATGTCGAGACGCCGGAAGGTTGAAAAACGTACCTGGTAGGTGATTTTCGTTCCCCAAGTACTTACCACCTCAAACTCATCAATTATCCTTATTATAATAGATCATATCTTTGTTCGTTTATCCAGCTTCAGCATCTGGGACAGAAACGATCCAGCCATTTATCCTCATATGCTACATGATCATTGGGTCAAACTGAAGTACCAGGTATAGCACTTTCGAGTCCTGTAGCTCAGTGGTTAGAGCACTCCCCTCACAAGCGAGAGGACCTGGGTTTGATTCCCATCGACTAACAACCGGTTGATTTAATTAAGAGTGAATAAATCTATGATACAATGGTAAAGCAACAGTTAAATTCAGATTATGATTAAACATTTTCGCTTTATTGCAGACACCTACATTAAGTATCATGGGGGTTGAAGGTAAGTGCACTGTTCTGAAACTATGCTGTTTCTTTTAATGTGTAAATCATTAAAATATGTAATATTCATTAACAGTCCACCTGGACACGTCTGCTACATTTGACACTGTCGAACATTCAATCCTCCTCTGATCCACCCCTTTGGCTTCACATTTTCCTGGTTCCACTCCTACCCAGACCAACATCTTTATGTTGTCTCTTTTAATGGCTCTAAGCTCTAAGTGAATTTGAACTCAACCAGAGTGGTGTTCCAACAGGGTTGCCCCTGTTCAGAGTTCATACTAACCCGAGTGATTTATACTTCCCATTCCAGATCAAAGGAGCATTTCAAAACAATTTGAAAACAAGAATTCTCCCCCGGGATCTTTGTACCTCACACCTTTGTTGTTTGCGACCAATTTTTAGGATCTCCGCCCGTTTACAAAGAGTCACGCTCCCGTTTCAATTACGATGGCTGTCTGCATGTTGTCCCAATGTCGAAGATTGCTGGTTACCTTAAGAACGAATACGTGCAGTTGAAGCCAGGTTAGTCTTAATTACAGACGCTTAAATGCTCAATCTTACTTACCGTGATGAAGCAAGTTTTTTTTTTAAACAAAATTTAATTTTTACATATTTTTTTGAGAACCAACTGAACCTTTCTTCCTTTCAAATTTAGAGGCTTATCCGAGCGGTAAATCGGCGGTGGAACCTCAACTGCTTCCTCAGTATGCAAATCAATTCCACGAAAACAGCGCGGAAGGCTTGAAATACTGGATTGACATACCTGTTTGCAACTTTTGTAAGTAATGATAATTTTAAAGTAGTTCTGCAAACAATACCAGTCTGTTTGATATACTTCATATCTTATGGCGGCTCAGCGCATAAGATATGAGGTATGATCAAACTCCACATTTCATAAAGATTCATGGATTAATCCCTGGTCTTTGTCAATGTCGGGCAGAGCATTGATGCTGATATTCATATTCCAAGTTCACAATAAAAGACCCGAGGTCAATAGAGAGCACAAACACTCATCCCCTCACTGGGATCAATGGAAAGTATAAACTCTCATACCATTAATGAGTGACCAATGGAGAGTACCTTCATGCGGGGTAGAGTCCTGGAGTGCTCGACGGTGGCGGAGTGTGACCTCGAGCCAGGGGGAAGAGGGGAGGTGACCGTAAGCACCATCAAAAAAAAAAGGTCTTTAGGCGGGATTTGAAAGTGGGAAGGGGCAAGGCGGAGGGATTGAGGGGGTTTTCGGGGCATGGTGGCTGACGGTACGGCCACCGTGCTCTCATCCCATAACTGTGACCCAATGGAGACGTGGGACCTTCCTGAGGTTGGTGCTCAAGAAATGCACCATAATGGGCAAGACTTCATTAAAAAGTGACTGAAACTGGGATCAATTCTCTGGGTTTATATTTAAAACGAGAGAGAGCAAGGGTTGCACTTTGGCTTCCTCTGAAATTGAAACCAGTTCTTTTAATTATTTAAATGTATTAAATTTCATTCACACAGGTCCAATAGCAAGAAAGAAAGAGACTTTCAAGGAATGAGTTCCAACAGCAGCAGACGAGAAAAACATCATCCTCTGAATGCTGCTGAAATATCTCCGTCGTTTCCAAAACGTAACATTTTGGATTCTGGGTTTATTTTGGCATAGCTTTCCAGACAATATTTTGTGGATTCATCTTAATTAAGGTTCAAAGGTGAATAGAGACTTCAGCTTCCTTTAATAGTCTTACTTATAATATAACAGAGGTGATGCGTTAAAAGATAAAGTGGAGAGTGGCAAAATGCCACAAGATGTTATATAGTATAAGTTATTCTAACTAGCCAGTACTGCCCTCTCTCTTGGGTTTAGGTCTCATTGATGAGCCAAACAAGCCTGACAATCACTAACACTGTCTTGGATTGCTACACACCTGACTGCAAGCCATGTGTCTGGGTTACCTGAGGTGGAATACCTTTCCAGTTCACCCCAAAATACATTGTACTTTTGCACTGAGCTAACAGCACAGATATGTAACCTCTATGACCTAATGCTGATCCGGGCAGTCAGTCATATTACCCAATATTGCAGCAGAAAAGCTCAAGACCCTGTACCTTTCATTTCAGGTTTGTTTCAATTTATTGCTCAATGCAGCCGTTTTAAAAAGTGCTCTTTAATTTAAATTGGCAATTAATTCAAAATTCAAACAAGAAACCTCCAAACAAAGATACCCCAAGCGAGTATCCAAACCCTCGGTGTTCTTCTACATGTGTCGCAGCCAACTTCAAGCAACCAACTCCCTTCTGAGCCCTCAATCCAATCAGTCAGTGTCAGGGTTGTAACAGCAGAACAGTTGTCCTTTCCCTGTCCACAAAATAAGTGTTCCCCCACCCCCCAAAATGAAATGACGAGGGATACTGCTCACCCAGGGGTTGGGTTGGGTGGGTGGATCAGATGGAATAAAAGCAGTTCATTCAGTCTGCGTACACAATAGAAGCCAGATCAAGGCTATACCTCCCAGTGTAGTTTGTCATGCTTCTGTTGGTAAGGGCAATAAGAAGATTGGGGTGGGGGGGGTGGTCAGCTTTGTGCTATTTTGTTGTGGTCCACGTTTAGAAAACAGTCTCCTTGACACCACTAGCCTTGACTCACTGACATTCTACCGCTCCCATCCTCAGTTTTCTTTTCCAAGCCAGATCCAACATTAGTGTAATTATCTGTCCTCTGCCGGGGACAGACAGCCTGAAGCAAATGGTCTCAGGACCAAGAGCTGTTGTCAGACACTCGCAGAGAATGCTTGGGTGCTCAAGCATGACGTCCGTGCTAATGTGCAGTCAGTCTTTAATATCACTGCCGTTTGGCTTTGTACGGTCTGGAGCGTTTCCGCCGATCTGGCTTACGCTGTTTGTGGAGACGTCCGATGCTCACACCCTGCCTCCGGCGAACAGATATGTTCTGTTCCACGAGGCTTGCCAGCATTCCTAGGGGGTAAAGTGAACAGCCACACGTCAGCAACGCAGCAAATCACACACAGAGCAGTCAGTCATCGAAGAAGATGAAAAAAATCGGTAAATGTCAGTTGAAATGAGCTGATTTTCACAAAGATCCAGATTTTAAAATTGGGTTCGTAAAAGCTTGAGTTTCAGGTCACAATTGATGTAAAACATTCACTCCGTAGACCAACGCTTGAGTCAGATTCACTGGACAATGCTAAGTTATGAGTTCACGCATAGTTGGCTTCAGAGTTACAGGCAGGACTAACCTTGGATACGTCCTATGTTCATATGAAGACAGGATACTTGTGACCTTAATGCTCAACAACAGCAAATTACACTTGCACAGCTCCCTCACAGCCCAGGGCGCTGGGACTCAGTACTTGAGCTGCACGAGGATTGCAACTAATGGTACACTGACCAGGTATGAACGTCTCCTTCCCGACTTCGAAGGAAACTGTGAGTCAGATCATTTGCCTGTCACCAGTCTCTTACCTTCCTGAGCCAGCATGGAGATAAAGGTACAGATGAACTCATCATAATTGTGGGTCCTTCGCTGATCATCGATCTAATTGGAAACAAGAGTTTTTTTTAAAAAAAAACAAACCGTCAACTAAGCAATCCATTACCTTACTTAATAACGTCCAACAGTTTGAAATGATGGGATGATATTCTCCCTCCATGGAAGCTCAGTGAAATCCAAGCACTATCCCTGCAGAGATCAGCTAACTGAAGCACGTGATAATGATTCAAACCTGTAACATTTCTAATCTGCATTGCTCACGGAAGACAAACTCTATTTACCTTATACTTTTTCCGCTTTTCCACCTCCTCCTTAAGGCACGCCTCGTAGTTGGAGATCTCAGCCTCTACACACTTTAGCAATGCCAGCAACTCCTGTAAAATACAGAGAGCATAATTAGTGAAAGGAAATGAAGGAAGGCGAGATAACCACCCCTTTTTCAGTTGTCTTTGTTCCCAGATAAATCTTGCAGTAATCTACCTCCAATTACTCTAACCCACCCCTGTGTAGAAGGGTATTAGATTATACAGCAGAATCAACAGTAAGTCTGTTGAACGAGTTTTTAAAATAATAAAGGGATTCGATAAGAGTATGTACAGAAAAACTATTTACTTGAGGTATAGATCAGCCTTGATCTTGTAGAATGACGGAACAGGCTGGAGGGGCTGAATGGCCTCCTCCTGTTTCTATGACTCCTAAGTGCCTTGAGCTCATGTGATATGTTAACGTCGGTTCCAGATAAAACAAAACTATAGTAAGACTGCCATGTAGAGCAATGACTACGACAAAGATACAGAGCGAAGCCGGAGATCAGGAACAACCTACATCTTTGATTCAGTTTGTAATTGCCACATAGCCGGCCGCAGATTCGGAACCTACTTTTGGTGAATATTTTTCTGCAACATTTGGTTCATTGTTCCCACTCACTGGCGATCTCTCCTTCCGGTCACACAATGCTGAGGACTCTTTACCGTCTTCCATTTTGATTTCACTGGGGCTGACTCCGCTGTGAGCCAACGGTGATCTTTTAATACCGTCTGTTTTCTGCTGCTCTATAACTGAAACGGTGGCAATAAAGAGATTCAGTCAAATTTGATAAGCCAAACAGCATGTTACTGAACGTTTTCAGGGGAAACGGGTACAATTGGCGAACAGTTTCAAAGAAACTTGTAAACTATATTAAAAAAAAATTTTAATCAGTGGTAACGTCATAGCTTACCATTGTGACAAGCCTGGTAAAGCTTTGGCTCACAGTCTACAGGGCATGCATTAGCCTGGCTCAGTTCCTAACTCTCACCGTGGAGTCAGAAGATCGTGGGTTCAAAGCCCACATCTGGACTTTGAACTCGTACTCCAGTGCAGTGCTGGGGGTATGGCATATTGTTGAAGGTGCCTTCAGATGAGACATTATACTGAGTTCTGGTCTGCCTGCTCAGGTGGACAATAAAGATCTCAGGGCCCTATTTAAAAATGGTGTCCTGGCAACATTCCTTCGGCAAAATTGGCCATTTGCTTCATTGGCTGTTTGCGAGAAATTGTGCGTAAATTGTGATAGTCACTACACTGTACAGCCAGTTCAACTCAGGAGGATATTTTATAGCCATGAAGTATGATATCACAGAGCCAAGCCCGATCTTGCCCTCACCAGTCATTCCCCCCCAAATTCATTTCAATCCTTGCTCTTACTGGTCAAAAAAAAAGGCTCTTTACATCCTCATTAAAGAATTGAATTCCCTTCATTTACTGAACACCTACCGGTGATTCCAAGAGTCTGCAGCACTCCTCCCTCTCCGAGATGCAAAAGGTTCGTACTAACAACCGGCCCAAGGTCACGCACGGCTCGGTTATAGCGCATACAGTCCACTCGTGACAGGCTTTCCTCCTCCCCAAACAACGCTTTGGAGATCTGAGAGGTGACGGGGCTTGAAGGGCGGGTGGGATTCGCCGACCGGATGGGGGAGCGAAGGGGAGAGTTGAAAGCACTTCCGATTTCTGAAGCGGTGTCTGTGCTCTCATTGCTGGGGGTTGGCGAAGGCTGGGAATGGACAGCGATACCACCCGCAGTGGTTTTTATAGAGAGAGGAAGAGACAAGTCCTTCTGCGATTCCTTTAGCTTCTCGGTCAGCACGTTGATAGTGTTGGGTTGAAGGAGGGAAAGTTGCTCGTTAGGTTTACTGGGTCTCTGCTCCTGTAATAATTTGGTTTTCTTTTTATACCTGTACATAAGAACATAAGAACATACGAATTAGGAACAGGAGTCGGCCATTCGGCCCCTCTAGCCTACCCCAAAAGCATAAATAAAGAAAATCCCATTAAATTCTCAAGCACTGTAGGAGAATACTTTTTCTTTTTGGCGCATAGCTGTGTGTGTGTGTGTGTGTGAGTGAGTGAGCATGTGTGTGTGTCTGACCTGATAGTTTTGTGTGTGTGTTGGTGCAAGCGTGTGTGTCTGACCTGACAGCAGTGTTTGTGTTGTGACAATCATCCTCATCTTCCTCATCGTAGTCATCATCGACTTGATTGTTCAAGTAATGGTGATGCTGCGAGACTGGTATTCGGCCATGGCCAACACCAGAGGCGAGATCTTCCTCTTCCTGCAAAGAAGCAACACCCAAATTTAACGTTACCGAACAAGACCCCAAACTAAGCTCCGCTGTGGGCCTTCAGCACGCTGGCTTGAACCAGTGGGATTGTATATGCAGTTACTCAGTTTACAAACAGTCTATTAAAGAATATTGACGACACTTACTTTTGTTAGCCAAAGAATTTAATCTCACCCGTGCAGTGGGCATCACAAGCTCACTCGTGGGACAAATTCTTTGAACTCTGATCAATGGTATTAGGTCGGACTGTGAACTGTTAGCAGAGAAAGTGAATCAACTACCTGCATTGGTGACTTGGCATAGTTGTGGTTATCGAGAAAAGCAGGAAGACGTTGTGGAACAAGACTGGGGGACGGTTGTGGTCCATTCGTGCTGGGACCTGGCGTTTTGGTTGGAACGTTGGGTTTGCTTGATGGGCTGGTTGTGGAAATCGGCTGAATTTGGGCCACAGGGTCTTCAGTGGATCCTGAAATACAGAATGGAGCTTATTACGTGTTCACACCAGACAGGCAATGAACCCGCGAGTGAACAACCATTTGCTAGGACCGACAAGTTTTAGCTCTGTAGCTAAAACAAACGTTTGTAAGTTAATTCAATACTGACCAGGCTGTGCAGTGTCCTGGACAGGCTGGGTCTTGACGGCCTCGATTTCAGCTGCAGGTTTTTTTAAGGCTTGCTTCGCTTCCTCCATGGCCTGAGCCTCCTGGGGTTTCTGTGTCTGGATCAGCTCCGGCTGAGTGACGTGGATTAGCTTCAAAAAACAAAATGCAAGGTGAGTTAACACGGTTACCCGAGGAACGCATGGTTCACAAGGAAGGAAAAGATGGGATTATCCCCGGATTGAACCAGCTCTGAGGAGACATGCCTGGCAAAGCCAAGCAGGTTTGCAGTAATCCCAGGCATTGTTGATATTTGACCAGCCTGTCTAGCTCACTGGTAAGATTTAGGGTGTAGATATTTCCTCAACCCTGCAAGTCAAAGCCCTGATGGGTAAGACGAACCTAGCTGAATAAATACCAAAAAACATACAGTACTCTGTATGGGTAAATTGCAGGATTACCATTATATACCTCAATGATAATAATACTTGCATTTGCTCTAAAGCCTTATCACATTATTGAAACGTCTCCAAAACTGTTTCTCAGGATTTACTGCAGATTGTAATGACTGTGCATTTTTGTAGGTAAAGGCAATATAAAGCTTTGTGACTTGGGGGGGGGGGGGTCAGCATCACAGCCAAGCCTGATATTGTTCCCATTCAACATTCAACACATGCAACATTCCCACAAACACACACACACACTCTTTCCAGCAGGAGACACTGGATAGTGATAAGAAGCAGGCAATCCAGCTGATTTTTCCCTCCCTAGTCCAAGGTCACTCAGTTAACTCAATACAAACCAAGGATCAAATCTGGGATCTTCCTAGTCTGTGTGGTTCAACTACACAAATACCAACTGACCTACTGGATGAACATAGATCTATATTTTTTTCAAAATACAGAAATGAAAGCCCTATTGTCAGATTATCTTGTCTTGAATTCAGCAAGACGCATGTACTTCAAAAAGAACATACATTAGCACAGTGAAGCCACTCATATCAGCCTTGACCTTCCTAATGGGACATTGCTGTGGGAAAGAACATGCAACTGCAGTTTATCCATCATTATTTTCCCAGGAAGAACCGTTGGGGAAGTAGCTATTCCTCTAAACTCATATTTTTATGTTGTTGGAATTTCAGCAGCAAAACATTATCACTAAACCCATTCCCGTATCCAAGCCTTTCATGTCCTCCTGATGTGAAAGGCGCTATACAAATGTGCTGCGCTGGCATGCTAGTAATGGAAACTTATTAAATCTGCAATGTAAGTTCGAAGTTACTTTTACTTGAAAGAATGCCTGGCAAATATTCACGGCAGTAACTTACCGTCTACGAACGTTGGAGGGGGAGGTAAGGAAAAGAGAAGACAGAAGGAGAAAGGAAGAAAAGTGAGAAGGGAAAGAGAACAATTAGTCCATTAAAATACAGGAATGTTAAAGCTGTGTGTGAAAGTAACAGCCGAGCTAAATCACTGCTTTGTTAGTGGGTCAATTGATTCAAGGATTAAGCTATGGATCAGCAGGTGACAGTAGCCATGACTTTACTGTCCCAACCACAGGCCAGAAGATACAGCCTTCCTTGGGCCATTGGTAAGAGCACCTCCTTTGCCAGTAGACCTCAGACCTGCATTTGCCTCTCACTGTCAGCCCCAGTCTCGAAACAACAGCATAATGTGCAATGACATCCCATGCATGCTGGCAATCTCACTGCTTCTTGAGCCCACAAATGTGCTGGACCATTGCAAAACAGAGATAGGGAAGGTTGGAGACTAAAATCATCTGGTATTCAGGAAGAGCTGTTGGCCTTCATGAATCTGATCTCCAACAATAAATGCACGGGACATCATCGAGTACGGAGGAGGGTGGCCGAAGATGTGGTTGAAGAGGAGGCTCTTGAGACGTGCCTTGAAGGAGGCAAGGGAGGGAGCGAGGCGATGGGACTATGGGGATGGAGTTGCAGAGGGTGGAGGCAGAGGCTGAAGGCCCGACCGCCGATGGTGGGACGGGATGGAGCCTGCTAAGCAAGCGATCAAACAGGTAGATATGGCTTATCAATATTTTTTTTTAAAGTTACATCCGGAATTTAAGGAAGAAAAGACAAGTCATTTACTTAACAATGTTTTGATAACCAACTAAGATTGCAATACAACAGAAAATCGTCCTTCCTTTACTGGGGCGCGAGTTTCCAAATCTAACCCGTGACATCGGCTCTGAACGCATGATCAGTGTACCTGCTGTAACGCCTCCAGCACTGTTTGCCGGTTCATCTTCAGAAGGCTCAACTTTGTCTCGTACTTGATCCTTCGATCGGGCACCACTGCCATCAGGTTAAAGCGGATATCATACGGTTCTCTGCAACAAGAGTTTTCATTCACAGTCATAATATACAGTCAACTTACTTTACAGTATATTCTGCGAAGCGCTTTGAGACGTCTCTAAGACGTGACAAGGCGCTATATCAAATGCAAGGATTATTATTATTATTACCCAGCAGTCGCGAGTCCTATTCGCTCCATTATAACTCTCCTCGCTTTGTCTGTCCACTCTTCATCCTCGCCCCATGGCCCTGGAAACAGAAGAGTTCCTCAATCTTCAGTAGAGCACACACTGTGCGAGGTGTGAGAAAGCACTCCACAATCAGAGCGCCTCGTGGAAGCGGAGCCAAACTTTTGTTCAACTCGCTCAACAAATGAAACAATATAGATTCAAACCTTATGTTAATAAGTAAGACCATGCACAGTAAAGTTATACCGTGGTCGATGGGGTACGCTTTCAACCCATCCAGTTCAAAGAGTCGACCGTTAATGGGAACGTAGCTGACAAAGTGAAAGGCCTCCATGGTCCGCACTGTGCTGATCCCGTTCTGTTTCTCTGGTAGGTGTCGTGGTTCCGGCCTAGAAAATGAACAAGCTCGCATTGTTGTCTAAAACAATATTGTGTCTGACAAATCACTATTAAATCTCTGCCTGATTCACATCCATTCATGTGGAGTGCTGTAGCTCAGTGGTTAGAGCACCCGCCTCGCAAGCGAGAGGACCGGGGTTCGATTCACGGTACTGCAAAACGTTGGGCAAGTTTCCTTGGGTTGTGTGTTTGCCTAGCAGTAAATAGGAAGCCGTTTGTTAGTCGATTGAAGGTTCATTTTTCCGGAGGTAATAATTCCCTCAAAAAAATAATTGTGTCACTTAATCCATGGCTGTTTGTGGGTCACTGCTGCGTGCAATTGGCTGCCGCGTTTCGCCCACAAAACATATTATCAATTCACTTTATAGTATATTCTGTGAAGCGCTTTGAGATGTCTAGAAGACGTGATAAGGTGCTATATCAAATGCAAGGATTATTATTATTATTCAAGCAAGAGGTAGAACTATTTACACGTTTGATGCAGATCACAGGCTCTCAATGTTAGGGGAGAAATATGGAGAGAAAAGGAGAAAAAGCACCTCTGAAGACAAAACACCTTACCTGGCATGGCTGTTGTGGGCCTTGGCTAGTTCTGGAGCGTTGCCAATTGCATAACCTTTGCTCTGTGAAGGGAACAAATGGTCACTTACAGATTCCTAAAACATCTGCAAAAGTAGCTTCACGATTCGCCCAGTGACCACTCGATCGAGCTTCATTCAAACATATTGTGGGCTTCAGATTCTGTGCCTAAACAGATTTTAATCTAGTCACACTTTAGAACTGTCATATTTACTCCAATCTAAGTGCAGATTTTTTTTCTTTAATAAGTAGGTCCAAAATCAGTCACACGACATAATGTTGTCTTTGAATTTCAGCATTTCAGTACTTTGAATTTTGACCTAGAATGAATTTGTTTGAGAAAATCCAGCACCTGGCAAATAAATTTAGTGTGAATCCACTTTCATTCCAACTGCCATCTGAAATTCCTCATAGTTTTGGCACAAAGCATTTCATAAAAATATCTTCAAAAAAATGCATTCAAATTTTAGTCCGGCAGCATACTCTCAGTAGGAATCTTTACCTCTGGACTGAATCCTTTAGTGAAGTCTTTCATCCAGCTGAGAGTAGGACCCAATTCCACGTCATCGCAGTTCAGAAGGACACTGAGCAAGGCATGAGTCGCACACGAGTTTGGGATCAGCTTTGAAACAAGATTAAAATATTTTGATTAGATGGGTGGGAGTTCCAGTGGGTAGAGACATATTGGCATAGCAGAAATTTGTTGAGAACCTCGTCTGCCTTATTTTCCAATTCCAAAAGGTAAGCAAACACTCGTAGTGTCAAAAATTACCTGATGAGCAAAAAACATGTCGTTAACAATCTCCTCATCGATCACAGACGTCTCATCCACCAGTGGCGTCACCTTCCGTCGCGACCTGCGCTCTTCAATCCATTTGAACAGGAAGATGAACCCATACACTGGGCTGGAGATGGAAGAACAACGGATATCAGAATTGCAATGGTCAAGTAATTACTTGAACAATATCATTAGCTCAAGAACAAGTTGTGTTTATATAGAAACCATTTGGGGGCAGATCCCAACGGTGTAATGAATAGTTGGGTGCACTTATGGACTGGGAGACTAGCTCGAATCCTGAGTTTGTTGGTTTGAGCCAGGGGGTACATGGGGAAGGCTAAACTGGCCCAAGCCTTTCCTGGGATAGAGGGAGGAAAGACAGCCAGTTTTTAGTCACCTGAATGTCGGTAAAAGTCACTGTCATGGCTCTCACATGAACAATGGTTACTTGAGCATGGTGGAGGGCTCCCATGGAACACAACCCAGAGGACCAGGAGCAGAGGCGTATGTCAATGGGGAGAAAACTGGACGCACTAAACTTCTTTTAAAAATGAAGCCATCACCTTACCAAAAGGACACCTATTGTAAGACTTGCTTAACAGGAAAAACAGTAGTTGTTTAATTCTCTAAATGTCTACGTATTGATTTAAAAATCAATGTTTCACAAAGATGTCCATCTCCTACCAGACGGCAAACAGACTGGACTCACCCCTGGACTTTACAGTGTAAGTCATAGATCTCCTCCACCTGAACCCCTTTCACACCTGCAAAGAAAAGAAAAATCGACAATTTGTCGCACACAATAAGCAAAGCATTTATTTCAGCAAATCGCCAAACTTGCTGCTCAAGCTCTTTATGTCAAATATGTGAACAGCTATAGGATCCTGCCAAGTCCCTGTATTTTCCCCCATCTTAGGTTCAATGCCATTTTCTAGTTGAATTCTGGTGTTTGGAAAGGTAGCAAAAGTGTACCTCTACTTCTGAATGTCTTATATCCACACAGTAATATATTAACAAAATAAAGTGGATCTGCAGTACACCAGAGCATTGCTGATGACAGACGAGAAAGCTTGGCTGTTTGACAGGACTCGGAGGGGCAGACTGGTCATTGGGAGCAGGGATTCTTCCCACTCAGCTTCCGTTCACCCTGTAAACCAAAGATGTAACGGGTGTAGGGTGGTCCGAGCTGGTCAAGCAGCAGGAGCTTGCCAGACATTTACGATCAGATGGAAAACAGATTGGACTAGCATACGGTTTTAACTGGTTGAACTCCAGCAGTAAACTAACACCCTCTGCAGTCCCCAACCTGCTCCTAATACTAATTTCTCCAGTTAAGCAATGTGCATTCCTTCAGGGAGCAAATGTGCACTTCATTCCACATACAGGAAATACTCCTAAGCTTGGTGAGATGTTTCCGCATGTGTCAAGGTGCCTGGTTGACTAAGAATAGTGAAAAATATTGCCTTACTATTTAGTATAACACATATTATTTTACTTGAGTAGCAAAAATAGAAAAGATTCCACTACACAATGAAAAGATTGCTACCGCAATGTTTTGTGTAAGTTAGACTTCAGCTAACATCCGTCCCAACATGAATCTACACCAAATAATCTCAATAAAGAACAAAGCATGGGGAGGGCCTCTGGAAAATAATGTCCACTGTTTATGCTTTTAGAAACTCTTTGTGATCAAAGTGGACACGATAAACAGGGCACTTACCAAAATCCTCTACCAGTAGGGTGAAGAGCCCTGAAATCAAGAACAAAGAGAAACCATGAATACAAACTGCAGCTTCCAGACATTTTCCTACACAAGAGAATCCTATACAGTAAATGCAAGTTGTTTTTGACCAATATCAGCCAATACGTGTAAGAAAATACAACATAAATCATAGAAAAAGAAACCCCATATAGCCCACCAAGCCTACCCCTTCCACAAACAATGCTGGAGCTGTATTACTGTGTGTCGTAGCTGTAATGCTCTGCACTGGAGACTAATAATAATAATCTTTGCATTTGATCTAGCATCTTATCACATCTTCGAGACGTCTCAAAGCACTTCACAGAATATACTGTAAATTGAATTGACTGTATATTTGTGGGCAAAACGCAGCAGCCAATTGCGCACAGCAATGTCCCACAAATAGTCGTGGATTGAGTGGCTGATTTATTATTTCTTTTAAGGAATTATTACCCCCGGAAAAGCGATCTGCCAATCGACTAACAACCGTGTTCCTACTTACTGTTAGGTAAACAGAGGTGTGTGGAGTAAGGAAACTTGCCCAATGTTTAGCCCTGTCCAGGAATCAAACCCAAGTCTCCCGCTTTCAAGGAGAATGCTCTAAACCACTGAGCTACAGGACTCCAGTAATATTAGCTGTAATGCTCTGTACCAGAGGCTGTAATGCTGTGAGCTATAATGATGTGTAATGAAGGCTGTGATGCTCTCTACTGGAGGCTGTAGTACCCTGTGCTGAGGCTGTAATGCCATGAGCGGTAATGCCCTGCACTGGAGGCTATAATGCTCTATACTGAGGCTGTATCACTGTGAGCTGTAATGATGTATAATGAAGGCTGCAATGCTGGAGGCTGTAACACTGTGAGCTGTAACACTGTAATGCTGGAGGCTGTAATACTGTGAGTTGTAATGATGTATAATGAAGGCTGTAATTCTGTGAGCGGTAATGCTGGAGGTTGTGACACTATGAGCTGTAACACTGTGACTTGTAACGATGTATAATGAAGGCTGTAATGCTGGAGGTTGTAACACTGTAACACTGTAATGCTGTAACACTATGAGCTGTAATGCTGTAACACTGTAATGCTGTAACACTGTAATGCTGTAACACTGTAATACTATGAGCTGTAATGTTGGAGGTTGTAACACGATGAGAGCTGTAATGCTGTAACACTATGAGCTGTAATGCTGTAACACTGTAATGCTGTAACACTGTAATGCTGTAACACTGTAATGCTGTAATGCTGTATAATGAAGGCTGTAATGCTGGAGGTTGTAACACTATGAGCTGTAATGCTGTAACACTGTAATGCTGTAACACTATGAGCTGTAATGCTGTAACACTGTAATGCTGTAACACTATGATGCTGTAACACTGTAATGCTGTAACACTGTGACGCTGTAACACTATGAGCTGTAATGTTGGAGGTTGTAACACGATGAGAGCTGTAACGCTGTAACGCTGTGAGGCTCAGCGCCGGGGACGGTAACGCAGTGAATCGGAAGCCTCTGCCCCCCCGGGAGGGGGAGGGGGAGGAGGAGGAGGAGGGGGAGGCGGCGCCCCGCGCACTCACCGGGGTCGCTCTCCAGCTCCAGCCAACCTTTATTCATCCTCTCGCTCTGGTCTCCATGGCCGCTCGCCCCGACCAGGCCGCACCTCCCAGCATGCGCCGCGCGCGGCCGCCGGGTGCGCATGCGCCGCGCGCGGCCGCCATGCTTGTGCGGGGCGAGAGGTCCGCCCCGCACTGACCTCTGACCCCACCCACCCACCCCCAACACGTGTCCCCTCCTCCCCCCCCCCCACCCACCCACCCCATGTCCTTCAGTGAACAGTGAATGAAATAATAAGCAGCTGAGTGACCAAATTATTATTGTTATCATTAACAATAATAATAATAATCAGGCGACAAGCAAATTGCGAGGCAAATAAATAAATGCACACAGGCGTGGAGACAAAAGCGTCGATTTTTTTTTTTAATCGAATAATTTCAGTACAATCTCTCATGATTACAACTCCCCCCCACCCCCCACCCCACGCCGCCACCGCCACCGCCACCGCCCTCCCCTCGTACAAACGCACACATAGAAAACGTCTTTATAATCAAGCGTCGAAGTCTCCGGAATGTAAAAAAAAAAGAACGAAGGCAAATACTGAAGTTTAAGATTTTGCAAAATTTCCAGTGATTCATCAGAGTACTTGCGAGGAGCAGACTGAATGTGTAGAAAGTAGGCTTTCAATCAACGATCCTGAGAGGTTTCGAACTTCTTGTATGCAGCAGTGTCTGCTTTCCTGACTGGCACTGTGAAACCCGATGGCACGACCTCCGAACATTGATTTGCACAATAAAATAGTGTGAAACAAATTTAACAATCCTAAAAGTGCCCATGTTGAAAGCTATTCCCAATTTCCCCTGAGAAACTGATCTTGTGTGAAATTCTGACCAGTCTCAGGCCACTGATATCGCCTATCGCCCACAAAATACAGTCAATTCACTTTAGTTTATTCTGTGAAGCGCTTTGAGACATCTCAAAGGCGTGATAAGACGCTGTATCAAATGCAAGGATTATTATTATTATCCCAGTGTTCATGATCATCCAGAAAAACTGTGGTTAGTACTACAAACACTATCTGTGACCAGACTCCCTCACCAATCGTTCCATAGAGTAAATCATGGCTCAAAGAGGTGAATGAGCAATTACATCACTGTCACCATTGAGGATACTTTTTTTTAAATATAATGAAATGCAGTAATATTTGATCATCACATCAGGAAAACACATGTACAAAATTACATCTAAATTTAAAATGAGTTATTTGCAAGTTGATTAGTTTGTACATTTCAATAATTCTATTTTACAATATAAACTCCAGTGACCTACAAATTATTTATGTACAAAATTGAAAGACACCTAAGGGGTGTTAGTTGACTAATTGTGGACAGATGTCCCAACAGTGTGAGATGGTTAAAAAACTAGCCGAATACAGTGCTGAGCTACAAAGTCAATCTGTTGTTCAAATGTCCAAAAGTCATTGCTGAAACTGCTCAGTGTTCTGGATACCAATGTTACAATCAACAGGTATTTTGCAGTTTCTCGATATAAAACATTATACATCGGTTCACAAAATCACCTCTGTGAACCAACACCCAAACACTATTCAAGTCTCAACCAAATGATACCCAAATAACGCGAATTAATATGAGCGCAATTGTGGTAAAGTCTGAAATTCATCAGATCTCTTGTTCAAGGCATTAGATTTCTACTCCTTTCTTTCTCCGCTCGAAAAGGGGCAAAGATCACTTGACAATATAGTATTTGGTCGGCACAAAAGGCATCTTGCTGACAACAGCATCCACAATCTTTTTCCTAACTTCCACCTTTAAGGGTGTGCCTGCCTTGCTGTACTGTGACTCCACGTAGCCCATGGCTATGTTCATTTTCAGGCAGGGTGATGGGCAGCCACTGGTCACTTCTCCTGCGGGTCAAATAATGTGAAACGGGGTTAGAAGAACAGAAACTAACCTCCTCAGGTGGTTTGTTTTCTTATTGATATCTGGAATACAAGTTACAGCCATGGTGGCTGATGGAGCTAGCAACAGAATAAGAAGCTGGGAACCCACTTGGCATTTACAAGGGTCCCGGAGCGCTTGAGTACACTGCGCTCACTGAGCAGTGTTGTGGTTGGAGGGCGGTGAAAGGAGATCACTTTAGAGCTCTATGCAGCTCGTATCCATCTCCAATTCTGCTTCAGAACAGTAACGCTAAAGCCATTCTGCCCGTGGCTAAACTGAAACTAGGAAAGACTAGGACTCTAGTCTATGCTGAGTTAACTGATCAGAGGAGTTTCTTTCCCCTTTCCCCGAAGGACAGATTACACAAAAAACAGCAAACGGAACATCTGCCGAGTTCTCCTACCTAGAGCACGATGAGGTGTGCTCGTGAGAGACACAACTGACTGAAATGAAAAGGTTTGTGTACCTCGCAATCTCAATCTCCCATTCCAGCTTAACTCACCGATTTTTTTTCCGTCTGCATTTAGGATCGGGGTGTGCTGCCTGACGGGAGGGCCTGTCGAGGTCAGACCCACTCGCTTTCTCTTCGTTTTCTCTTTGATCTGCCCGAGAATGACCGAAGCTCCGGGAAAATCCCCGGCCACACGCCGACGTTTCCCTATGGACGAACAGGAAGAAACAAAGCAGGTTCAGTCCATTCAGAATTCAACACGGGCAGAAATGACAGTAATGTCTCAGTAACGGAGAGCACCCCATGTTGCCTGGAGAACATAGGAGAAATAAAAACTAGACTAGAATAAGGAGACATTGAGAAAGAAATCCATTGACTACCTATGGTCCACATCAGGGTTGCTTCCACTGGAGTGGTGGTCTCATCAATGTCATTTCCATAGAGACAGAGTCCGGCCTCGAGGCGTAGGCTGTCCCTGGATCCAAGGCCCGCGAGTTTGACCTCACTGTGCTTCAACAAAGACTCCACCAGCTCAACAGTGCGTTGAATTGGAACAGAAATCTAAAACAACAAGAATAATTAACACTGAGGTATAGAGTCGGGAGAATGTCTCACCAATCTCTCAATCAAATCCTTACACTTCAAATCCTTACCGAACTTCTTTGTATCACAAATCGAGGTAAGTTTTTACGGTTTAATTTTGCCCACAAAATATAGTCAATTCACTTTATAGTATATTCTGTGAAGCGCTTTGAGACGTCTCAAAGACGTGATAAGGCGCTGTATCAAATGCAAGGTTTATTATTATTACTTTATTATTAATCAGCAGCAAATCCCTCTGTATTCCTCTATCACTCAATTTTTTCACATCCCTCTAGGGCTTGATCCCTTCATAAACTAGGTAATACCTTTTCCCTATGCTCACATTCCTAAATTGCACAAAAATTCAAGCAATCCATTTCAGTTAAACTCCAGAATATAAGTGCCTGGGGAAGAGTGTTACAAACACAGTTCCCAAATTCCAGTAAGGTGCAAATAAGAGTCTCACTGAGTAACGACATCTCACTGAGTAACAGGGCATAAGATTAGGAATAGGTAGGGCATCCCTCTCAGACACAGCTTATACGTGGAATGCTATTACTGAGACATTCAGCCCATCGAGGCTGTTACGCCAGTTTATTCCATCTCGCCAGATATTTTAATTCCAATGCCTGGCGCTTTCACGCTTCCAATTGCTATTCTTCCGTGTTATCTTTTAAGCGCTCCGTGTGTAGGGCACCGTGTAAATGCACACCATTGCGCCGCATAACCCTGCCCACTCAATTAATTACTAAAAGAGCTCCAGTACACTGTTAGCAAGAAATAGCTACCTCAACCCCGTCCTCTCCAGTGTATCCGCAGCGACTGACTCTGCAGCCCGGAACCCCAAACACAGTCATCACCGCGTTCGACATGAACGTCAGCTTGCTGAGGTCGTCGCTCATGCCCTCCTGCAAAACCCGCGCAGTTGATGGCCCTGAAGCACAGATAGGAAAATTACGTTAGGAACAAAAATAAGGATTGCCAGTGCACAGAACAAACATCGTCTCCAAGGACACAGCAGAGAACTGATCAAATGCTCGGGCCACTTGTTACAATAGGTCAACTATTTCAGGTGGCCACTTGAATGGGTGTGGAACTAAAGTAGCTTAACTTCCACAGAGAGAAAATGCAGAGACTTTCTTGCTCTTCGCACTAGTATCTCGATCAGAAGGGATTTGGTTCCACTGATAGCTGTGTATGTGCAGACACTTAGCTGGAGGAACAAATAATTCCTACAACTGAGCATTCATCGCCATTCATAATTCTATATAGCGAACAGCACGAGTATAACAGTTATGTTGAACATGGACATGAGAGTTGCAGGCTAAAAATAATACTAATCCTTGCATTTGATATAGCACCTAATTACGTCTTCGAGACGTCTCAAAGCGCTTCTCTATATTTTGTGGGCGAAACGCGGCAGCCGATTGCGCACAGGATATATAGTAAGTTACCTTGCACCGCAATCAATCCTCTTTCCAAAAATTCCAAGTCAGCATCGTATCCAGCAGCTTTAAACTCTGCAAGTTTACGCTACAAAACAGAAAATTCAGTCACTGATAACAGTAATGCGATGTTAGAACAGTGTGTGCAGGTTTCTGTGCCAGCAAACAGTACGTAGAGCCTTGTTGGAGCTGGCTCTTTATTGGATCTGGGCCACTAATGTGCTCCACTGGGTAGAAGATAAATATCAGCAGAAGCATTTGCAACTCCCTGGGAACAGATCCAATGCCTACCCACCGGCCTCCAATTGGTTCTTAGTTCCAAGAATATCTGTGTCCTTGGTGAGTACTGAGCTACATAGATGAGAAACATGCACCTTCATATCCCAGACTGTGCTGTGAGTGTGACTATCTCAGCCGAGGTAGCAGTTGGTGGAAATAAAGCTACAAATCTCACACAAGACCCAGGAATGAACTGATAAAGCTCAATAAGTCCCTGATCATGAGCTGGAAGAGGCGTTTCTATGAAAAATATCAGCAATTTTATAATACTTGACAATATAATAACTGCCTCTCACCCCCCATCTCAATTACATTAGTGTAAGAAAGAGAAACACCTTTGTTTCTACAGTCCTTGAGCTTTACCCTCAAGACTTTATCAACAGACCTTCATGTGGGCAGAATCTTTGTCAGCACAGCCAGCGTTCGACACAACAAACAGATACCCATCTGATGTCTGGCTCACTATTAGATCATCAATGACACCTCCCTTCTCATTCGTAAGGAGGGACAGCATGCCCTGAAACAAAGCAAGCAAAGAGTCACAAGAGAATACATAATTCACTGACCCTTATTTGCAAACCAGTAAGAGAAGATATTCTACACAGAATAGCTAGATGCATCCAACATCCCCCAATCGCTGGCCAAAGGATGACTGGTGAGGTCATGAAAAGCAGAGAGGCATAAATATTCTATGGAAAATAGTGCCGTATTTAACCACACAACGTCCCCACTATGTGACAATAATTTAACATAGATTTTATCCCTCATTCATCATCGCTAACTTAAAATCAAAACTGATTGCTAACTTCAGCTAACTCATTTTTTCCCAGGACCACAAGACTGGAACACCTCACTTCACTCAGTCTCGCCCTCTTCCTACAATCTACAAGCCTTTAAAATCACCTAACTATTGTTTCTTGATTCGTCTCATCGACTCTTTTTGAATGCCATCGTTTGCTGACTACAGGCCTTGATTAAAAAAGCTTGAAGTTAAATTTTAAAAAGCGCAGTATTTGTACTTTATAGCAAAACCTACCAGAATTTAAATTGATAAATAAAGATTTGTTTTAATCGGCTTGAAGAGCACCATCATTAACACGAAGAGTAGACGGTCAGAATAGGAAGAATGCACCTCTTATAGAAGACTTTACTCACTTGATTCTCTTTGAGCTCAGCAATGTCCCCAACGATCAAACTCTCCATGAACTTCACTCGGTCTTTCCCCACCACCTTAGACTGAAATACAGATCTGAATGAGCTTACGTATATGTTTTAAAAATACACGACAGGGCATATATAGAATCAGCACTGTCAAGGTAAGTTCAAGAGGAACTTAAAACAAGTGTAGGTGTTAGCATGTTTTTTTTAAAAACAAATACCTAAATATTACACTGGTGAAAGTGTCAAGGGGCCACATAAAACTACACCTCCCAAAAAATACCTCTAACTGAACAGATAGAGAGTCGGCAGTAAGGAAATGGAGGTAAAATGTATGGATTCCAGGGTAAGGGCCAAGTTTATCAGTCAGTCTGTATTAAGTTGTGGCCTTACCTGCAACATGTGAGACACATCAAACAGTGAACAGTGCTCCCTTGTGTGTAAGTGTGAAGCAATGTGACTGTCTTTATACTGAACCGGCATACTCCATCCTGCAAAATCTACCATCCGAGCCTCCTGGCTCCGATGGAAGTCATAGAGAGGGGTCTTCCTGAGAGATTCCTGAACCAAAAAACAGAAATGGATATCACTGCCGAACACATTCGCACCATCTTAAAACATCTGACAGATTTTGCATTGCATAGCCAACCTATACCTTTTAGTGACTGCAGTAATGTAATCATGTAGCTCAGGCACCATAAATCAAGTAGATCAAGCAGATTAGAAATCAACTGAAAATATTACAGTTGCAAAGTTACTCCAGAGTTCAACATACTGCGACCTTGAATTTAAAGTTCATTTTTAAAACAAAAGTCTGAAACGTTATAATGTACAGGATTGCCAACAAGAACACAAAAACAAGAATGTACAAAAAAAAAGGTTAACAACCTGACATAGGATGCTGCGAGAAAGGGGTAACAAGTGTAATTTAAACCAAACCAAAAAAAAAGAGCGACCTCTGTACCGTATAGAAGCCGCTTCAGAACTGTAAGACTCCTGCCGGTCCTGTGCACAGTAGTTAAACAAAGGGGAGAGCGGACGTAGCCACCTAACTGCGAAAAGTCTGCAACTCAATTATTTTTTCATCGTCAATCAACCCAAAATGCTGCAGCACCGGTAGCCCGACAGATACAAGCAAGATGAGGATCTTCATACTTCAGAGGGATGGTTTGATAATCCCTCTACCCCCCCCCCCACCACCCAATCTAATCTAATAATCCCCCCCAGGCTGCCAATTCCTCCTGCTGGTTTGCGAAGAGCCTGTCTGATGATGATGATGATGATGATAATAATCCTTGCATCTGATATGGAGCTTTATCACGTCTTCAAGACGTCACAACCTGCTTCACAGGATATACTGCAAAGCGAATTGACTGTGTACTCTGTGGGCGAAAAGCGGCAGCCAATTGCGCGCAGCAGCGTCGCCGTGGATCGAGCGACCCAATTACTCTCATTTTTTGGGCTTTAGTGCAACGTCTCCAGCCAACGTCTCCGGTCGTAGCACAAGACGCCAATGCATCGCCGGCGTCCTTTTATTATGGTCCAGTCGTGACGGGCTGCCAATGCGCCCGTGTCAACACACACCCCCCGCCGTCCCCCCCGCCAACCCAACCCAACCCCCGCCAACCCAACACAACCCCCCGCCGTCCCCCCCGCCAACCCAACCCAACCCAACCCACCCCAACCCACCCCTCGCCAACCCAACCCAACCCACCCCCCGCCAACCCAACCCAACCCACCCCACCGCCAACCCAACACACCCCCCTCCGTCCCCCGCCAACCCAACCCAACCCACCCCACCCCAACCCACCCCTCGCCAACCCAACCCAACCCACCCCCCCACCAACCCAACCCAACCCACCCCCGCCAACCCAACCCAACCCACCCCACCGCCAACCCAACACACACCCGCCGTCCCCCGCCAACCCAACCCAACCCACCCCACCCCACCGCCAACCCAACACACACCCCGCCCCCCCCGCCAACCCAACCCAACCCCAACCCACCCCCACCCCGCCAACCCAACCCACCCCCACCCCCCCCCCCGCCAACCCAACCCAACCCCCCCCGCCAACCCAACCCACCCCCCGCCAACCCAACCCACCCCTCGCCAACCCAACCCAACGCCTCCCCTCCACAGCAATGCCTTGGCTGTGCGGTCACGGTACACCTCCCCCCCCCCCCCTCCCCCCCCGGGGACACGGTCACTCACCGATCCGCCGTGGCTGAATCTTGCCTGAGGACGGACTCCGGCCCCCGACCGGAGCCCCAGCCTGAGCCCCACACCGACCCTCAGCATGATGCACCCCCTCTCCCTCCCTCTCCCTCTCTGACTGCCTGACTGACAGCTGTGTGTCTGCTCTCCCTTCTGCCTCCAGCAGCAGCAGCAGCCACTTTCCGAGCATGCGCAGTCACTCGGGGGGGCGCGCAGGGCATTCTGGGAGCTGTAGGCCTGGGCGGTGCGGGGCGGCGAGCGCGAACCGCAACTCCCAGGGTGCAGTGCTTCCCGCTGGCAGGAGGGAGGGGCGAGCAGCTGATCGCCAGAGGGGCTCTCCTTGGGGCTGAGTGCACACACCAGAGGGAGTGTAATAATAATAATAATAATAATAATCCTCGCATTTGATATAGCGCTTTTCATGTCAGGAGGACGTCCCGAAGCGCTTCACAGAACACACTGTAAAGTGAATTGACTGTATATTTGTGGGCGAACGCGGCAGCCAATTGCGCACAGCACTGTCCCACAAACAGTCGTAGATTGAAAATGACCAATTTATTATTGTTTTTGGTTTTGGAGGATTATTATTAGGCTCTGTGTGGAGTAAGGAAACTTGCCCAAGGTTTCGCCCTCTGCCTGGAATTGAACTCAGGTCTCTCGCTTACAAAGCGAGTGCTCTAACCCCTGAGCTACAGGACTCCACAATACTCAGCTACTTTCCTCTTCATCTTCAGGACTTGTGCAAATTTGGCACTGGGGACCTCTGCCATTTAACCCCTTCTGTTGACTTTTATATTTTCGTATTTCGCCCACAAAATACAGTCAACTCGCTTCCCGTGAAGCGCTTTCGAGACGACAAGAAAAAAAACCGCGTTCGTAGGGGGCGCCTTTCGCGGTGGGAGGGCGGCCCAAGGCGCTGGGCGTCTCGACAATGTGACAAAGCGCTACATTAAATGCAAGGATTATTATCATTATTAATGATTACTGTTGATCTTTGGGGCACGCTGCTGCAGGCTGCCAATCCTCTGAACCCAGTAAAACAGATGGTGCGTGTGATATTGCCCCAGCGTTAGGCTATCTCTGCGGAGTCAGCTAATTCGGTTCTACATGCTCAAGCCATGAACTTTGGAACTCAATCAGTACTGTGTCCTATCTGATCATCAACCCTGCAAATGGAAGTCCTAATAGGCTTTGATTCTAGCTGAACAAGCAACAACAACAACAACAACAAGATTCCATTTATAGAGCGCCTTTCACGTCGGGAGGACGTCCCAAGGCGCTGTACAGTTGGGTCGGGACCCGAGCAAATGGTCAGGGTGAGGGGAGGGAAGGGAGGGAGCGAGGAGGGGGTAGAGAGTCGAGAGGGGAGCTGAAGGCTCGGTCAAAGAGAAAGGTCTTGAGACCGGCCTTGAAGGAGGAAAGGGAGGAGGCGGCGAAGGCACTGGGGGATAGAGTTCCAGAGCCTCGGGGCTGAAGGCCACCGATGGTAGGGCGGTTGGGGCGGGGGATGTGGAGCAGACCGGAGCCAGAAGAACGGAGGGTACGGGCGGGTAGGTAGGGGGATAGTAGGTCGGAGAGGTAGGAGGGAGCGAGGCCGTGAATGGCCTTGTAGGTGAGGATGAGGATCTTGAATTCGATCCTCTGGGGGATGGGGAGCCAGTGGAGGCGAGCGAGGGTGGGAGTGATGTGGTCGCGGTGTCTGGTGCGGGACAGTACACGAGCTGCAGAGTTCTGAATGACCTGCAGTGTGGAGGGAGGGCCGGGAAGGCCGACGAGGAGAGAGTTCCCATAGTCCAGCCTTGAGGTGATAAAGGCGTGGACCAGAGTTTCAGCCGCGTGAGGGGTGAGATAGTGCCGTAGTCTGGCGACATTCCGGAGGTGATGGAAGGCGGTGCCAGTGGAAAGCTTGCTACGTTCACGAGTTAAAAACTCCAGTGGTAGCCAATGTACTGGGGTCCCCATATCTTGGTTCTTGCCAACCTGTGCCTACAATCTTTGAAAGAATGCACATCCCACACCAGACCGACAAAACTATACTTATGTGGAACCCTCTGCAGTATGGTTTGGACTCGAGCATCGTGTTGGGTTTCTGCATGTGCCAGACACCCCACCCCACTTTGTGGACCGCTTAATAGCTTGCCTTGTGCTGTGCAAATCACAATTATATAACGAAGCATCAAATTCAAGCAATACGTCATTGAAGACAATGCTCCTTTTGTCATTCACTAAAGCTTCTAAAATTAAATCAGGTTGGCAATTTGCTTTGATCAACAGTAATGTAGAGCAAAAACAGAAGTCGCTGGGAACACAGCAGGTCAGGCAGCATCTATGGGGAAAGAAGTGAGTCAATGTTTCGGGTCCATGACCCTTCGTCAGAACTGGGGCGTGTTGAGAGGGAGAGGCTTTTAAGGGCTCAAAGAGAGAGGGAGGAGGCAAGGCAAGGTAGACAATGGATAAAATGGGGTAGAGGATGGGATGATGGGTTAAAGAGGTGTTAATAATGCCAAACGGGGGGGGGGCGAAATTGCAACAAAATAGGCAGACCAGAGACTAAGGTCTGGGACCCAGATGATGTGGTAATGGTCACAGAAGAGGGGGAGGAGGAGAGGGAGGTCAGCTGTTATGGTCTGAAATTGTTCAAATCAATATTAAGATATTGAGTAATGTAGAGCTGCACAAGGACTAATCTAAAACACAAGATCTTCAATTTGTACTACAGTGCAGATTTCCATCCAATATATAGTGCTTACATTTTATCTACTTCATAATTGAGAATTCCTGCTTACATAAATAGCGAGTATGTGTCGCAAATGCCCTATTAATGCCCGTAATGGATATATAATGATGCTTTATGGTATTAGTCAGTAAATAGGGGAGGTTAGGATATATTTACACAGATGGTTAGTATGTGGAAGCAGTACTACCTGTGAAGAGCAGTAGTCAAGGGAGGATCCATGCTAACTTTCAAGAAGGAAAATGATTGATATCTAAGGAATATGGGGAAAAGACTGGTCATTGGGTCTGAATAGACTTTCAAAGAATTGGCAGAGACACAATGGGCTAATGGCCTGCTTCCTTCTAGTGTTGATAAGTTTATGGTTCCTATTCTGATCTCAAATCAGAACAAATAGGTTATTATATTGTCGGAAGTCGATTTCTGGTCAAACTCCAAGATGAGAGGAGAAAAATGTTTTTTGACTGATAATATGATAGCACAGTGAAGCAAATGCAATACATGTGTTTATGAAATTGTTAAAAAGATACAACTGAGCAGCAACAGAGCATATTCAGTACTTCCATTCCATACTGGCACAGAATTTACAAGGTAAGGAGTAGCAATGATTCTTCTGACAGCAGATCATGAGACTGGAACTTTTCGAAAACTTTGCATAGTGTGGTAGGTATTACATATCCCATACTTGTGCTGATGGATTGTGAGTCTGAGGTACTGATGTACAATTGTGAGTGTGTTGTAGGGATAGTTGCCATAGTTGTATTATTCTCCTTCTGCTAGACAACCTTTGTGAAGTGAAATGCTATTGTTCTGCCTCTGAAGATCTTGTCTAAACTCAACAGCCATGCAGGATATGTAATGACTTGACGGTCATTAATAATAATAATAATCCTCGCATTTACGGTAATAGCCTTACAGAATATACTGTAAAGTGAATTGACCGTATATTTGTGGGCGAAACGGGGCAGCCAATTGCACACAGCAGAGTCCCAAAAACAGTTGTGGATTGAAAATGACCAATTTATTATTGTTTTGTTTTTTGGAGGGATTATTATTAGGCGTGTGAAGTAAGGAAACTTGCCCAAGGTTTCGCCCTGCCTGGAAGTGAACCCAGGTGTCTCGCTTGGAAAGTGAGTGCTTTATCCTCCGAGGACTCCAATGGCATGCCATCTCAAATCTGAGAAAACTTGTGATCTTAATTTGGAGAAGCAACTAAGAACAACACAACATCATCTATCAAGATGGTAAGTGCTTCAGGTTTCTTGGATTGTAAAAGACTGTTGTAATTATTAAGATGGCAGGAGTAAAGTTTAATTCTTTCTGATGTAATGTAATGAATTATACAGATAAACCAAAAGTGGAAGCTTTATTTCAGCTCTAAGACCCCACCTTTACCAAAACATACAGGAGTTAGGCATATATCAGTGCATTTAAATTATCTGATTGACGCATGGTAAATCAACAGTTTATCAGATTTAATAACTTAATATGCGGATAACAAGCAGCGGTCTGGCAAATAGCAAAAAGGGTCCTGTGACACTTCAAGCTTTGTTAAGGACATCGAGTCACACAAACCTGGAGGAGCATGTACACTCACACATAAGATACTTTGAATTCAGACCTTCCCAGAAGAAATTGTATTGTAGGATGGAGCAGTCAGGTGTAGGACAGCAAGTTGATATCATAGGAACCATCCACCTGTAGGTAGGGCAAATGAATGTATATCAGGCAATTACAGTAAACTCCTGATAACTCGTCACTCCAAGGGAAAGTGGCTTAGTGATGAGTTATCAGGAGTGGCAAGTTAGGCATACGTAATTAAATACCGCCAGGATATTACCAGCATGATGACTTAAGTGGTGGTGACAAATTAAGCCGGGGTTGAGTATCAGGATTTTTCGGGGGTATTGAAATAACAATCATTGGAGGAGTGGCCTGGAGAAGGGAGGGTGGCAAACCGTTCAGACTTCCACTACTGGAATATTTTTAAAAGGTTTACCACTGCCGAGACTAAGTCTTCAATTATTCGAAAAAACTTTGCACTTTGATGAGCAGTGTTCCGGTTTGTTTTACCTTCAGTTTCTTTATACATTGATTTTGATTTTTTTTTGTACCTACCACTGCTGGAGAACAATACTCACATCAAAACGTCCAACACGGGTGCAAGTCGGAGTGTTTCGAACCATTTCAGTTAACAGCCACATGTGTTGTACACTGGAAGCCACAGCCTCAGGATCGGGGAGGCCCTGTTAAAGGAGATTTACAGTTAGTTCAAGAAAACACCTGCCATTAGTTTACTTCCCAGCATCTTGTAAGCTATCTTCTATCGAATACTCCCAAGTATTAGGCTGTTTTTTTTGTTTGTGGGATGAGGTATTCAAAGCACTGAAAACAGAAAATGTCCAGAGTGGGGCAAAAAATATCACACTGTTACTAAAACAAGTATACTTAATAGTGAATCAGTAAGCTTAATTTTCAGTATCAGAGACCAAGAAATGGACCTTGTCTAGGGCTGGATCTATAGCTGCTCCTTAATGTAAGGAACAGATTCCCGGTGTCTCACTCAGATAAGTGACCACAAGTTAAGTCTAGTGAAAATAATAAAAATAATCCTTGCATTTGATATAGCGCCTTATCACATATTTGAGACATTTCAAAGCGCTTGATAGAATACACTGTAAAGTGATTATTTTGTGGGTGAAACGTGGCAGCCAATTGCGCACAGCAGTGTCTCACAAACAGTCGTGGATTGAGTGACAAAATTATCATTTTTAAAAAAAATTTTTTTGAAGGAAATATACACATAGGAATAGCACACAGTTAGGCACGAAGAACAGAAACACACCATGGCACACTCATTATGATAAATTACTTATTGATCACAAAGTTAGTCTTTGGAAATTTTTATTGCTTTGTCTGAAATGAAAAGCAAGCAAACTAAATTATATCATATCTTTGTAGGTTTATAGATAACACAAAGCAAAGGTCGCCTTCCCAGATTTGGTATAAGTTTGGGTTAAAGCCTTGTGCATGAATGCAAAGTAAATTAATGAAAGTTTTGAAAAACAAACAATTGAGGTCCAGGCTACGTTTGCCTTCTGGAATTTTCTGCTGATCTTTCTCAGCTCACGACTTCTCCCTATACTGCCAAAAGTTGCTGTGGTTCTTCATCAATAGTTAATACCTCTGTATGTTAGCACTGTCATGCAATATGCCACATTACAATAAAAAACATTACTGAATTTGAAAAGCACTCGTGCACCATAATCCATAATGTATCCTCAATGATGCGGTTGCAGGTAATTCCTGCCCTGCCCAGTCTTCGATTTATTCCAGCTGCTGCTTCTCAAACAGCATAAAACCTGCCCATGAGTATCTAATTATCCGTCCTAGCACAAAAATTGTTTAAAAAAAAGCCGAATAAAAATCACCAAAGAAAAAATTCCCTAGGTGCAGAAATACAACAGTCAGCTGTGAAACTCAGTGAAGTCAAACTCACAACATTTAAGTTCAAAGGTCTCTCCAGTGGAGTAAGATGGGACAGCCATGATCCATTTCCTCTCTGTAGATTCTATAAAACAAATGGTTGAACATAAATTGGTTGAGTGGGAAAAAAAATGTTAGAAATAACTGGAGGCTGACATCACCAATAAAATAGATCCCTCTGCTTTGACCTGCAAGAAATTGAAAATAGTGACACCTTTGCAACTAATGTTATGCTGACATGTCAAAATCCAGTCCCTGAGATATAAAGTAAGATAGCGCAAGTGATTCAGTACTGGCAGGTCCACACCACTGCTGTTTAAATGGGTAGTTTTAAAAACAGTGGAGCCTTGTTATAACATGGTTGGGACGTCCTCCCAACGTGAAAGGTGTTATACAAATGTAATTTGTTGTTGTTTTGGGGCCTATAACATCCCAACAAGTGCTTTTATGGAGTGTGATCTTCAGTCAGTGTTCTGCATGCATCATGCATGCCGAAAGAAGAAACTTTTGGCCGGATGTGGGAAGCCAAAAATTCAACGTCGGTCAACAAGCCACTGCTAATCCTGCGGTTTCAAGTCACACCAGCATGACCTGGTGATCCGGAAGTCAGCTATTTTGTCTTGCGCTGGTGAAATTCCCATGGAGCAGAATTTTCTGGGTGAGTAAAAGTCAATTATGTTGTAAAATAACAGCTGTTTTAATGAAATATTTTATAAGGGGGTTCAACTGTACTTACATCCTGGTCACATTCATATAGTTTGATGTCTTCTACTGAAAAACTTAGCCAAACTGGAGATGGTTGTCGAAGAATCAGGCGCATTGCTGTCACCCCATTTGGTTCGCACAGCATCTGTAGATAATGATCAATTTAATCCGTCAGGCAATTTAATTTTATGTCAGTCACAAGAGCCTTCAAAATACCACGAGTTCCATTGCTGAAACAGTAAACTCTTCTCACCTAGTTTAGGTTTTGTGATGGCAGTGCCTAGCAGCATCTGAACCACTCACACCATTCTGTACAAGCCATTGCACAGTGAATAGGGATTACAGTGCAAACACATTATAAGAAAAGTTGTGTTTATAGTAAAGCATGCTAATATGCTGCATTGTATACAATACTTCAGAGTTAGTCAGACCTCCTCAATATTAAGCACTTGGAGATCCATAGCCCCCAAACAGACCATTCGGCTTATCTAGTTCCATATTCCACCCTTTTCCCCATATCCCTCAACTTTATTCTCCCTCAACCATATGTCCATCCTTTTTTTGAATGTACACACGGTTGCAGCAGAATGTACACACAGTCAACAACAGACTGAGGCAGAGAATGCCACACTCCAACCACTCTCTGTTTGAAAAAATTCCTCTTAATCTTTGTTCTGGAGATCCCAGTTATGATTTTAAAACTCTGTCCTCTAGGTCTAGACCTCCTGTCCACTGCAAATAATCTTTCCCTGTTCATCTTATTTAAATCTTCCATCATCTTATATGCTATCATATCCCCTTTGAACCATGTGAGCTCCAAAGAAAAAAGATTCAGTTTATCCAGCCTTTTCAGACATAGGATATTCATCATTGATACACATATTCTTGGAATGAAGCCTGACCTGATGTTTATGAACAGAAAAGTAGTCCTGAGATCCCTTCTCAGCATGGGGATTGGGCATCAGAGGTAAATTCCTTGTACAGGTATTCCATTTTGCCGTTTTTTTGTCAGACTCTGAGAGAACAGGTCGGTGAATACGTATAGTTAAGAAAGCAGTGTAGTAATTCTTAAACGTGATGGCCCGAAGCTGTTAGTGAAGAGTGATTGAAAATCAGGATTAAGAGCATCAATGAGCATATAATGGAAAGGCAGAACTAGAGCTACACAATATTAGAAAAACAATTTTAAAAAATTGAACACTGATATTTTTGAATAGTAAAATAAATTGAGATGATCAAAAATGTCCTACTATAGCAGATTAAAATCTTGTCTCGATTTGTGTGAAATTGCTTCATTATTACTTAGCCATCAAATAGGTGTAAAAGGAGAAGTGAGAAAAGGGGTCTTGGGAGCAGTACGCCTGGTGGAAAACAAATCAAGTGTTTGGTTCTAAATTCCTTGTAGTTTATTGAACCTCAGTTAGATCTCCACACACAAATGATCTGTTACAAGTGATGTATACTTCAAAACTAGTAACTTTGCGAGAAACTGGGTGAATCACTTTCTGTCTCTCTCTTGGAAAGGAGAAGCCATATACTTGGCTCTTCTTTACACTGATGTATCGGGTTACAAATAAAGGCCCACTGCCCACTCAGTGGCGGTATACATTGATTATATTTCAATATGTTATTGAAAGAAATGCCTGATTTATACTGTGGGAAATCAAAGGCCATCGGTTCCAACAGCAGTAGAAATCGGAGCAAACAGCAAAGAGAATCTATTTTCTAAAAATCCAAATTGTCCTTAGATATAGTACTCTGATTTAAAGCCTAATCTGCTGATATAAATCCACAACAGTCCCACTGTAAGAGGCTAAACAATATATTACTTACATTAATTCCCCTTTCACGTGGAAAAGAGATATCAATTGCAAAAACACCAGGCTTCCCGGAGTTGGATTTTATATCCCCAATTTGGAGCGGGACTGGTGTTTTAATCACACAAGCGACGCTATCTTCTGTCATTATACCTCTGCAGTAAAGAAGAGAGTAATATTAGATCAAACCTCATAGCCAAAGGGGAAAAAATGCGATTTGTAATCCCAATCATATCGTCATTCAACTGAACTGCACTCTGCGAAGTAATAATAATAATAATAATAATAATCCTTGCATTTGATACAGCGCTTTTCACGTCGGGAGGACGTCCCAAAGCGCTTCACAGAACACACTGTAAAGTGAATTGACTGTATATTTGTGGGCGAACGCGGCGGCCGATTGCGCACAGCGACGTCCCGCAAACAGCCGTGGATTGAAAATGACCGATTTATTACTGTTTGGGGTTTTTGGAGGGACTATTATTATATATGACAACGAAGTACGACAGCACATTCCGTGAGGCGCGTTGAGACACGATAAAGGCGCTGCCGCAAATGCAAGAACCATCACCCACTAATAATCGCCATCGGACTTCGCAGAATACACACCGCAAAGCGAATCGACCGCGTAATTTTTTTTGCGCGGGCGAAGGGCGGCGGCCGGTGGCGCGCCCCTCGGCGACCCGCGAACGCTTGTGTTGTGGAGCGCGCGAATTACCATTATCGTCATTATTATTATTATTATTATTATATTTTTTTGGGAGGGATTATTACCCTCTGGAAAGCGATCCGCCAACCGACTAACAACCGGATTCCTACCCCCCCCCACTGCCAGGTAACCAGAGGCAGAGAATCCAAGCGGTATCTAAACCAGCAAAGCCCCTCACAGTTAATATATATATATATATATATATATATAGAACCAATATATAATAATATAATATATCACAGATATAAATGGATAATATACAATATATCAAAATGTCGATATAGATATAGAATACATAAATAGATATGGAGATGATATGTAATATGTAATGTGGGTATATAGAGATAAATATATGTACCTTAAGGTGGAATTTTAATGTTCTGAATTTTAAAATTAACGGTTTCTTCGGTTTAGAGCGACTTGAAGATCAGTGTCGGTTTGAAAGGGAAGAGCGCGCGAGGGGGGGGGGGGCGGCCATGGCGACGCGTCGCGTCACGCGTCACGCGACGCGTCACGCGTCCGGAGCGGCGCGTGGAGGCCAGGGTGCGCCCGTGCGCGAGTGCGCCGCCGCGCGCGGTGGCGTCACCGGCTCGGCGGTGTCACGTGCTCGGAGCCGGCTATAAAAGGCAGCGAGAGCCGCCGTCACGTGCTTCAGCTGGCGTGGTCCTGGAGGGAAAGGCTGGAGAGGCGCGGCCACGCGTGTGGCGGTAACGCGAAGCTCAGCGCTGCAGTCACGTCCCGATAATAATACGATGGCGTTCATAACCAATTATCGCTTCAGGACGACGGAGAGGTAAGGTGAGGCTTGAGCGCGCGCACACACACACGTGCGCGCGTGCGAAAGCCGAACCGAAAAGAAGCGTTGGGATTTGAAAACGGAGCTCGCGCGCTCGGACGGCCCCACGTGGTCCCGGTCTGAGGCGCTCAACGGTTTCAACGGTTTTCTGAGCGCGAGCGAGAGGAGCAACGGCTGTTCGAAGGGGCCGCGGCTGCGTGGGGGGTGGGGGGGGTGACTTGGTTTTCACTAACCTCCCTGCAGTGAGTTCTCTTAGACGTCCATCCATCCATGAGGTAAAGTTATGAAAGAGATGGCGCATTGGGTTTGTAACGAGGCTCGAATGGTGTTTAAATAACAATAATCCTTATCACGTCTTCGAGAAGCCCCGAAGCGCTTCACGGGGGATACTCGCTCGGGTGCGGTGAACCGGGGCGTGTGGGTGGGGTAAGGGTGGGGTGGGGGGAGAGGGTAAAATGGTCGGTCGTTAAGCCATCCGTCTTTTGACTTCCAGCGCGTGCCTCGACGGACGGACGGACGCCCTGGACCGGTTCCCGCTCGGAAACGACGGCCCGGCCCGGCCGACACCGAAGCTGGTGGGTTTGTGGCGCCTGATTGTCTCACGGAGTGCTTCACAAAGAATAACAATATTAATAATGATAATAATAATCCCCGCGTTTGACCATAGCGTCTCATCGCGCCTTCGAGGCGCCTCAAAGCGCCTCCCAGGATACATTGCCGAGCGGATTGGACCGTACTTGGTGGGCGACGCGCGGCAGGCAGTTGCGCACGGCTGGGCTAACGGTTACCAGAGTCGACGGGAGAGTTAATCGGTTAATATTGAAGTCTTGGAGCCTTGGTGTGACTTAACTGAAATTTGGGGTCTGAAAGGATGGCTCTCGGTGATTGCTTGATTCGTGGAAAAACTTGGAACGCATAGTTCCTGGGCTCGGATGGTCTCCTCGTCGCCGATAATAATCCCTCAAAAAAAAATAATAGATTGGCCACTTCGACCCACGGCGGTTTGTGGGGACGCTGCTGTGCGCAATCGGCTGCCGCATTTCACCCACAAACATACTCACTTTACAGTCTATTCTGTGAAGCACTTTGAGACGTCGAGAAGACGTGAAAAACGCGATGTCAAATGCAAGGATTATTATTCTTATCGCTCTCTACCAGCTAACGCACCACTGAAGAGTTCGGAATCAACCGCAAACTCCTGCCCAGGAACCCAGATTATATTGTATTGCTGGGATCATGTGTCAAACATGGAAAGTAGAAATGCGCAGAATCTTATGAAATACTGAATCTGGACAAAGTGTAATTTAGCATCGTTTCAGATTAACTGATATAAAGATGAAACGATAAACGGTTTACGAGATGTTAAGTATTGTAGTCATGTCTAATGATCTATTTAATTTACAGGTCCACCTCAATAAGACTGGATCCCCCATTGCTGGAAAATTATCTCGGTTTACTAGATGAAGCAGATTCCACACTTCGACCTAAGAGTAACCTACAAAATGCATAAAACTGATTAAATGTGGTATTTTGTGTGTGTGTGTGGGGGGGGGGGGTGTGAGGGTGGCGGAGTGGGATGCCGTATTGTAATGCTCACAAACCTGTACTTTTCCTGGTGGGGATTTTTTTCTGATGGTACTTGTGGACCATCGTAGCCATCTTGAAAATATTGTGAAGAGACATTCATTTTTCCCCAATCAAAATCACGCTTCTACTGAGCCATGAGAGTTGTAAATTTGTGTTGAACAAAACAAGACCACTGTTAAAACATTGTTTAAGGATCCCAGATTCTTGCTCTGTTTTTTTAGAATCTGCTCCTCTGTAATTCAACACTTGTGGAGGAATTTGCTTCAAAAAATTAAATACCACTTTCCTGTGTAAGCTTGCAGAAATAAAAATAATCTCCTCGAGAACTGTGACCTGCATCCTGGAAAGTATTTCTGTTTAGATACCATTTTATTCTAACAGTCAGACTTGAAGATCACTTTTCCATAACCTCCTCCTCCGGAATTCTAGCTGGCAATCTTCTTCCTCCAACAGAGGAGTTTTTTCCGAGTCTGAGAGACTAGAAGATGATTTTTTCCATATTTCCTCCTCCTCTGGAAATTATAGTAGGAAGCAATTCCTCCAAAAAACACAAATGCATTTTTTTTGCATTCTGTATAACATTTCTACAAAGAGATCTAACAATCTTTCTCAGACTTTGAGGATCCTTTTTTCCATAACGCCTCCTCCTCTGGAATTTATTTCTTCCAAATGTAGTAAATCATTGGCAATCGAGCTTGAAGACAACTTTTTCAATATCCCCTACGAGAAATTATACTAGAAAAAACATTTTCTCCAAAAAGACTGAAGATTTTTTATTCCATAACTCCTCCTCCTCTGGAATGCTATCCTGGAAAGCAATTCTTCCATAATATAGCATTTCTTTTGGCAATATTGGAGCTTAAAGATAATTTTTTCCATATCTCCTCCTCCTGAAATTCTGCCGTGCAGCCTGCAAAACATTTCCTCAAATGTTACTTTTGGCGATCTTCCCGAGACTGGAGGCATTTTTTTTCCATAACTCCTCCTCCTCTGGAATTTTGGCCTGCAGCCTTCAAAGCGTTTCCTCAAAAGGTTCTATTGACCATCTTGTATTTTGAGGATGACTTTTTCCATAAACCTACTGCCTCTGGGATTTGTCCCAAGTCTTGGCAAAATTATAATTAATAAAACTATTTGTGAAAATGGCAACTTATTTTTAATGAAATTCATTGAAGGAGAACTCCTGTGCATGAAAGTCAAACTATAATACAAGAAATGTTTACAGATGTGTTGTAATAGATTGAGAGTATTGCAGTATTTAACTGAGCTGAAAACAATAGGTTAAATGACTTGTATTTTAGTTGTTCAAAATGTAAATTGGTATTTGCAACTACATTATACTTTTCACTTGTCCTGTACACATTTCTTTCAAATAAAAATTCAGCCTGAAAGATTTATACCAGTGTAAATTGCAAAACAAATTATTTTAGTTAATAAGTTTGGAAATCTGATTATTGTTTTATGAAATGAGAAGTTCCGAACATAGACATCAGTATGTGTAGGAGGAAACTTCTTGCCTGACGCCTTACCGGTCGGTAGGTGATTTAATAATAATAATAATAATAATCCTTGCATTTGATGTCGCGTCATTTTTCACGTCTTCTGGACGCTTCAAAGCGCTTCACAGAATATACTGTGAAGTGAATTGACTATATTTGTGGGCGAAAAGATTTAGATCTGAAGGTGCGAAACATACATGATGTTGGACAGTTGCCATTCAACAGGGCTCACACATTGACAGGAAGGGTAACCAGATCTCTTGGAATTTCCTTTGCCCAAGGTACAGAGGTTGGGACCACATATTTTTATAAGGTGGTGGCCTATGTTTTTAGTACTGTGGAATGCAATTTCTGGAAGCGAGAAGCACCTGAGCCATTTCCTTTATCACTTGAGGCCTGAGAGATGGGGCTGATAACTTCGAGGCTTATCATGAGCAATGCCCAAAGTCACATAATCATCTTACAGCCAAACCCAAAGATGCTGAAAGCTTCAATCGCACAATGTGATCTGGAGAAGAGAGTGATGGAGAATGAACGCACACGTGAATGATTTCAGTCTACCAGTGCACAGTGCCCACTAAAGCACAGTAGAAGGGAACTAAAAATGGTACAGTCAAAAACAAGATTCTGTGAGAGCAGAGATAAAGCAGGTGAACTGCTTGTAGATTTCAATGTCGGAGGACTAACCCTACCATTGAGACAAAAAGGCAGCAAGATGGCAGGTGACCCAAAGGGTATAAGGAATATGTAAGGGATACCACTCTGAATGAGTCGGAAACTGAGGCAACAGGTGAAATATATCAACAAACTTCCCTTTCCATCTCACGGAAGATGAAGCCGACGCTCGATACCCCTGCAATAATGGCTAAAAGTGCGAGAAGTTATTGAGGGACTGCAATTGGGTAAAACTCCAGGACTGAATGGGTTTTCCATCTCGAGTTTTATGAAACATTTCTGTCTGGGATGCTCCCAGCCCAACGCTCGAGGGTGGGCACGCTTACCCGGCAGCAACAATACATTTAAATCTGTGTTGTGTGTAAAAAAAAAAGGAAGGATCCTGGTTCCTGCTCGGCAAGTAGACCCATCTCTTGCTTTACAGCGATTGTAAAGCACAAAAGATCTGCAACTGTAGACAGGAAATGAGGATCCACCACAACAACTTGCACTTAAATGGAGCCCTCCACGCGGGTTTGAGTCACTTGGAACGGAACGGCAGAGGCAGACACAAAGACAAACCGAATCATTCACAAACATAGAGTGTTTCTACGCTTGCCGTCATCAGCTCACGGCACCGTATCTTCGTTCACAGGTAAGACGGACGGCCTCACCGTTGCCTGTCCTGGGGTACTTTGCGAGTCGTTTTACACAGAATTGTGTCGGGCGTCAGCCGGGCGCCGAGTTAGCACTCCAGCCTCGTGCGTCAGAAGGTTCGTGGGTTCACACAGTTCAGCAATGGCCAAACCCGCGCGGCTGTCGGGAAGCAATATAATATCATTATACGATGCAGTGCTGTGGGGAGGGGGCTTTGCATTGACGGCGGTGCCTTCCTTTCGATGAGATATTAAACCGAAGTCCCGTCCGGCGGATGGATGTTAGAGATTCCCGTGGCACCATTCGAAAAGAGGAGGGAGCTTCTCCTCGTGCCCCGGTTGACAATCTCCCAAATAAAACTGGCTGCCACCGGTCTCTCCCACAAAATACGCAGTCGATCCGCTTTACAGTATATCCTATGAAGCTCGTTGAGACGTCTCGACGACGTGATCAGGCGCTATATCAAATGCAAGGATTATTATTATGATTATTATTATTGAAGTGATACATGTGTATCTGGCCAATAGAGGGCAATGCTATCACTTGCTTGGAAGCAGTGCATACATTTGCTCACCACCGCCGAAAGGCATAAATAATAAATGAATAATAATAATCCTTGCGTTTGATATAACTCCTTTCACGTTAGGAAAACATCTCAAAATGCTTTGCAGAATACAACTTAAACCGTAGTGACTGTGTATTTTGTAGAAGAATGCACATTTAAAACGTGCAAACCAGGATAGATTTCCCGGTCAAATTGTCTCAGCTGGATAAACATTCCCTGATTCAAACAGTGAGGAAACACTGTCTGGTAGAGACTGCAATATGGATAACACTACCAGATACAGCGATTGCAATACTGGTTAAAACTATCTGAAATATGAGCTGCAGAGCAAGATAAATGCAGAGTAAAGAGGTTTTTTTTGAGCTGCAAGGACCTGCAAATAGGAGCATGAATAAAGATTATACAAGGAGAGCGCACATTTCTGAAGTCTTGAGTGAAATAAATGGCAAATGACTTGCTGATGTATAACTTAGTGATGTATTAACAGGATCTGCAGCTCAATGGAATGAGAAGCACTCTACCTTTTTGGGTCAGGCAGAATGGTGACACATTCGGGAACCCATCACCGTGCTTAAGACTAACCAAACCGGTTCGTATTGCCATCTCTGCAAACCTATGCATGGATGGCATACGTACACACGTGGAACCACAAGTTCAACAGTGTACGGTCAATTCACTTTACAGTCCATTCTGTGAAGCGCTTTGAGACGTCTAGAAGACGTGAAAAGCGCTGTGTCAAATGCAAGGATTATTATTTTTTATTATTATTAACGTGTGTAGGCACGCCATCTGTGCGTAGAAATTTCTCATCTGGAATGGGGGGGTGTGGATTTGCTCCCAGAAAGCATTAGCCACACAGGTTGGCAAGCACCAAGACTTGGGGACCACCACCAACAACAACAACAACTTACGTATGCACAGCGCACTTCACCCGGGGTAGCTTCCAGGAGCGCTTGACAGTGGCGGAGTCTGACCCCAAGAGTTCAAAGGCGTCCAACTGAGCTGCACTATCCGGAGTTGCCACGTGCTCAGTGTAGTACAACACTGTACGTGCCTCTTGGTCTGATTTCTATATGACTGGTCCTTGTGTTCCAATCTGTAGTTACTTTCATTGCTTACGATAATATTATTCCGCCTGACACAAACCTCCCATATGGCAAAATTCTCCACCGCTTTCAAAACCATGTTTTCCCGGAGGTGCACTTGTACTTTTGGGGATAAAAACACATTGGTGGACCATTTGCAGAGGGAGCTTTATCCTGGATGCAACATTAGCTGACCCTCATCTGAGAATTTTTCATGGGATTTTGAAGGGGGAGATATACTCTACATTTAACAACACCCAATACCTGACCTGGGAGTGCTTCATGGAATAGAGGGAGATTTTTTTATGTATCTAACCCTTATTGGTTTACCCCCGAGTCAAAAAAACATGCCCCCCTTCCCCCTTACATCCAAGTTGAAAAGAGTTAATTGCTGTTAAATGTAGGCATAGTGTATTGGTAGGTGAACGCTTTAATGATCACAGAACAGAAAGATTGTACCTCAAAGAATCTATCAATACCCCAGGACTTGAA